GGACTCCAAAATCTGTCATCCAACGGAGTTTGACTTCTACCTGTGCAGTCATGCAGGAATTCAGGCAACGAGTCTTCCTTGTGTTTCTCTTGAGTGTGTGTGTGTTTTAAGGAGAATGTTTATAAATGTGTTGCCAATGTGTTATGACAGGGTACAAGCCGTCCAGCTCATTACCATGTGTTGTGGGATGAAAACAAGTTTACAGCTGATGCACTGCAGTCACTCACAAATAATCTTTGCTATACGTAAGCTTGCTGATTTTTCCCCATGCCATATGCCCTAAACAACCATTTTAATTATTCGCAAGTAGTTTTGTATTTTTTATGCCTTAAATCTAGTACTGAATAGTTGACCTTTTGAACTCCTGCAGATATGCAAGATGCACTCGTTCGGTTTCCATTGGTAAGCTCTCACCGCTGATTCACACAATTGTATACATGTTTGAGCCAATATGGATCCACTGCTTTTATTTATTTTTTTGCTCGTGTTTATGTGAATACTGTGCTGATTAGTCTTTAATTGGCAGTTCCTCCTGCGTACTATGCCCATCTTGCTGCGTTTCGAGCTCGGTTCTACATGGAACCCGAGACATCAGACAGTGGATCGATGACAAGTGGTGCTCCTGGACGTGGGGGCATGGGTGCACGTAGCACACGAGCACCAGGTGCAAATGCTGCTGTGAGGCCTTTGCCAGCCCTCAAGGAAAATGTCAAAAGGGTTATGTTCTACTGTTAGAGGGGCCTTCCTTGGTAGAAGTTAAGTTGACAATGTTCCATAAGAATGTAGTAGATGCACACATTGTAATGTCGTTTTGGAATTTGCGGGGGGTGTTATAGGCTTGGTGCTCTCGTTAGGTGTTGTGGTCAAGAATCTGAAATTTCCCATCGCAACTGGTTTTTGGGATGCTTAGTTTAGTTATATGTTTCGTGAGATGGAATTGGACAACTAGTGGCTTTCAGTTATATTGAAAGGGAGGAAAAACAATTGGTAGACTTGAAATTGAATCTGGTGTAGGAAGGAAGTAACCTTTGGAAATGACTGCATTGCTCCGCTCTTGTATTTTCAGATGATTAGACATTTGATTGAAGTGGATTCTTGTTCTTGGTGTCATGATTCGAGCATTTAAAATTAGAGATTAGCATTGCAAAGATGACATTCCAAAGAAAATTGTAGAGGAAAAAATAATTAACTCTGAAAACATCATCCTGCACTTGTACGTGAAATATAAGAACATCGGTGAACATAGAGGAAAAAAGTAGGATAAATAAATACTCTTATTTTCTTCTTGAAAAAGGAATGGCTCAATCAAATGATTTAGGTTGGTGTGGTGTTGCTCGCTCGTTTGCTCGTACAAGTAGAATGAAGGAGTACGCATAGATTAGACAATTTGAGACAGCGTGTATGTAACCTTAGAGATTGAAACAACAAACAAGTAAAGAATCAAAATACACACGTTACGGAAAAGCCCAACAACGAATTACTTGAGATTCTTTCCCTCCACTTTAAAGATTAGATACAGGCAGAGACACAAAAAGGCCAAAATCCGATTTGCTAGCTTCTAACCAGTCTTAAAAATTCCTTTCTTTCCTACAAATGACATTAAAGAATAAAGTCTGTGTGTTCTTTCTTTCTCCTCCCATGGCAACTTTGTGCCAGCCATGCATATAATATATATACATTAAGTTCCCTATAACTTCATAACATCAAACCAACTTGAATATTGGTTGTATATCTATCTTTGTTTTAGTTTACTGAATATTCGTCTCTTTTTTCTTTTTTCGTAATACTGGTACTGCCTTGCCTTAAGCCTTGTTGATTTCATAAATGGCTTCTACCCCGGCCTTGAAGCGATCGGATACGATTGCAGAAACCATGCCAGACGCACTGAGACAGAGCCGCTACCACATGAAGAAATGTTTTGCCAGGTTCTTTATTTTAATTTGGTCGAGAATGTATAATATATATTATACATATGTGTGTGTGTTAGCGAAATTTGATGCTGATATTCTTGTTCAATTTATGTATATGGGAACAAAAAGGTTTGTTGCAATGGGGAAAAGGTTAATGAAGATGCAGCATGTAATGGAGGAGTTGGAAAAATCAATAGAAGACAAGCATGAAAGAAGCAAGGTCTTGGAGGGATTACTTGGTTACATCATCAGCTCCACTCAGGTATATATAATATATACTCATACAGGCTATATATAGCAATCAGGGCATGCAATTTTAAATTTGAATTATTTACAATAAACATGAACTGGCGCAGGAGGCGGCTGTTGTTCCACCGTATGTTGCTTTTGCGGTAAGACCGAATCCTGGTTTCTGGGAATTTGTGAAGGTGAATGCTGATGATCTAGCAGTGGATGGCATCACTGCTTCCGAATACTTGAAGTTCAAAGAAATGATATTCGACGAGAACTGGTACGTATAGTATTTGTATTTGTATCTGTATGTGCAATATATTTTGCAAGCTGCAGCTATATTGAGTTGAGCTTACTTGCATGCATTGCTTTGCACTGCACTCCACAGGGCCAATGATGAAAATGCTCTGGAAATAGATTTTGGAGGCATTGACTTCGCCACTCCTCGCATGAAGCTTCCTTCTTCAATCGGGAATGGTCTCAACTTTATCTTAAAGTTAATCTCCTCAAGGCTGGCTACTGCCAACTCATCCGATTATGCCAAACCCTTGCTTGACTACTTGTTACAACTTCATTATCATGGAGAGGTACTTGATCTCATTACATTGTTTCATGTTAATTATTTTTAATATTAATTACTCCATCTTCAATTTGTGACCTGTATTTTCTTCTCATATTATAATTATCCATGTATACATGCCAGAATCTTATGATCAACGAAACTCTGGATACGGTTGCAAAACTTCAAACAGCTTTGATCCAAGCAGAAGTAGTTGTGTCTACACTCCCAAAAGCCACACCATTTCCGAATTTTGAGCAAAGGTCTCTCTTGCTCTTACCTTAATTGTTTAATAAATTTTAGGATTTAGGACTCACTTGTACGTATATATATTAATAGTTTTGATGATGATCAGGTTAAAGGAGTTGGGTTTTGAGAAAGGATGGGGGGATACAGCAGAAAGAGTTGTAGAGACAATGAAGATGCTCTCAGAAGTACTCCAAGCACCAGACTCAGCCAAGTTGGAGTGTTTCTTTAGCAGACTTCCTAACACATTCAACATCGTCATCTTCTCTCCTCACGGCTACTTTGGCCAGTCTGACGTTCTTGGATTGCCCGACACTGGCGGCCAGGTGGTTTATATTCTTGATCAAGTCAGAGCCTTAGAGGAAGAGTTGCTCCTCAGAATAAAGCAGCAAGGCCTTGCTGTCAAGCCACAGATTCTTGTGGTGAGCTAGACTACTGTTATAAACAAACAACTGATGATCCTTGTTGTCTTGCAACTTGCAATTCTAATTCATTTTTACTGGTACCTACATCATCATATACATACGTACGCTGTACACAGGTGACACGACTCATACCAGATGCTCGAGGAACAAAATGCAACCAGGAGTTGGAAGCTATCATCAACACTAAGCACTCCCACATCCTTAGGGTCCCATTCAGGACACACAGAGGCATTCTCCGCCAATGGCTTTCTCGTTTTGATATCTACCCTTATCTTGAGACATTTGCACAGGTATCAATTCTTCTTCACAATCTTCTGTCCTATAAATACATACATTAAACATACATACATCATTTATTTTTGGACCAACGTGTACAACTTTATTGATTTTTTTCTTTTCTTTTGTTCTTATTGTTAATTAGGATGCAACTGCAAAGATCTTAGAACGCATGGAATGCAAACCAGACCTCATAATCGGGAACTACAGTGATGGAAACTTGGTGGCCTCTTTGATGGCTGGCAAACTTGGAATAACTCAGGTGTCTAAGTTCAACCACCTCTCCCTCCTTCGATAATTGTTTCAAAAACAGATTAATTTTACTTTGAATCTGAAATTAACATGTTCTGAACATCTGTCCTGCAGGGAACAATCGCTCATGCTCTAGAAAAGACCAAGTACGAAGATTCAGATGCCAAATGGAAGGAGTTTGATCCAAAGTACCACTTCTCTTGTCAGTTCACAGCTGACATAATCTCTATGAATTCAGCTGATTTTGTCATAACGAGCACCTTTCAAGAAATAGCCGGAGGGTTAGTAGCACTAGTCTTTCTTGCCAAAAGTTCTACTTTCATGATGCCATTCATAATCATAATCAGTGTGTTTATTTCTTCATGTATGCAGCAAAGACCGGCCTGGACAGTATGAAAGCCATACAGCATTTACAATGCCAGGACTTTATCGAGTAGTTTCAGGCATTGATGTATTTGATCCAAAGTTCAACATTGCGGCCCCTGGGGCTGACCAATCTGTCTACTTTCCCTGCTCCGAGAAACAGAGACGCTTTACCAAATTTCATCCTGCCATTGAAGAACTGCTCTACAATAAGGCGGAAAACGATGAGCACACGTAATTAAACTCTCTCCCTCTCTCTCTCTTTCTCTCACTCACGGTCTACAATTGAGAAAATTTACTGAAGAGTCTGTCAACACACACACACACAGTTGTTGTACTACCCCACCACATTACTCTTTTCAATTGCCTAACAACAAACTCTTACAAAATTAGAAATTAAAAAAAATGCTTGGAACAGAGGATATTTGGCAGACAAGAAGAAACCCATCATCTTCTCAATGGCAAGACTGGATACAGTGAAGAACCTCTCAGGACTAGTTGAATGGTTCGGGAAGAACAAGAGGCTGAGGAGTTTGGTCAATCTTGTTATAGTAGGAGGATTCTTTGACCCATCCAAATCCAAAGACAGAGAAGAAATTGCAGAAATTAAGAAGATACATGCCTTGGTACAAGAATACAAACTGACTGGTCAGTTCAGATGGATAGCAGCTCAGACTGATCGATATCGCAACGGAGAGCTGTACCGCTGCATTGCAGATACAACGGGAGCATTTGTGCAGCCAGCACTGTATGAAGCTTTTGGTCTAACAGTGATTGAGGCCATGAACTGTGGCTTACCCACATTTGCAACCAACCAAGGAGGCCCTGCAGAAATTATTGTTGATGGGGTATCAGGCTTCCACATTGATCCAACCAATGGTGATGAATCCAGCAACAAAATTGCTGACTTTTTTGAGAAATGCAAGACGGATGGGGAATATTGGACCAAGATGTCAGCAGCCGGTTTGCAGCGTATATACGAATGGTAATTAGTTACTTAGTTATACTATACTTAGAATAATGCGTAAAGTTTTATGAATGAATGTTATATATTTTTGTTTTTGGTTGCAGCTATACATGGAAGATATATGCAAACAAAGTGTTGAACATGGGATCCACTTATGGATTCTGGAGGCAGTTGAGAAAGGAGCAAAAGCTTGCCAATCAAACATACATTCATATGTTTTACAGTCTCCTCTTTAGGCATTTGGTAAGTCCACTACTCTAACTCTGCTTGGATTTGGACTTTGCAGTATACTATATTTATGCATACATACATAATACATTATACATATACTTACTATGCGTAATAGTATGAGGCAGTAAAAAGTTGCGTTTTTCGTGCTGCAGGCAAGGAATGTAGGAGTCCCAAGTGATGGTTTCGAACAACCAACGGCCAAGGCGATAACTGCAGCTGGCCAAGCAACCCCAGTAATTGCACCACCAACCTCGCCAATCCCTCAGCTGATGACTTCAACACCAAGGTTTCATCATTATTTAGATTAGTAGCTTAATTACACTGCATGCATGCATAATATTGTGTTATGCTACTTTGATTTCCTGTTTAATAATATGACATTGAGAATTTTGGTTAGTTTTGCTTTACTTACTTCAAGTCTTGAAGTGAGAATAGATATTTTAATGGCAGGGAGAGGGATGAAGGTTTGGAGGAGAAGCAGAAACAGCAGCAGCTGGGCGAACCTCGAAGCCCCACGGCTCGCTGCATCTTGAATTGCTGTTGCGTGATCATTGGTTTTCTCATCCTTGTTTACTACAAGATCAGGAATATGTACAACTACAACTAATGGAGCTTGTTTTGTTGTGTGTATTGATGTAAGATGATCAACTCACAAACAAAACAAAGAATGAATGGTCATGTAAATTCTCCAATTTCCAATATAATTCAATAAACATATCATTAATTGTCACACTGTATCAATCAATCAATCAATCAATCAACTGGACAAGAATACAGAGGGAAGGGAAAGAAAGACATAATCACAGCTCACCGTATCTGGCACTGGCAGCCATGAATCATGGTTATTGGTGTTTGATATGACATGGTGTTTGATATGACATGGTGTTTAAAGGTGGTGTTTGATTGGTCATGGTTATTGAAGGTGGCTAGGATGTAGAAAGGGTCAAGTACCATGATGGAGCTCTGATACCACCTTCAAACACCATGTCCAATTGGTGTTTGAAGGTGGTTTTTGTTTGGGATTTGTTTGATTTTGGTTCAATTTGGGGTTTTTTGTTTGATTTGATTTTAATCGGACCTAGTCAACCGGCCATACAATCTCAAGAAAGTAAATGGTTGAATGTTTTGTCGTGTTCCAAACATCAAATAGTACAATACATACATACATGTATAGCCTTCTATCAATCTTACTATTAAGGCTTTGAATGCTTGATTCAATATTAGTGGGATTTGACCCTCACTAATTTGGGCAAGTAAAGATATTACAAATATTTACAAAGATATTTCTTAATAAATTTGGACAAATTATCTTTGGAGATATGGGATGATTTGTTAGAGGAAAAAAAAAAAGGAATTTGATTTGGGAATACAGCTTGAATTTATGAGACCTATTATTATTAATTTTCGTCTGGCGACTCTTATAAAAGTTTAATTGATGTATGTGATTAATTAGTTAATAATCTCTTTGGTATCAAATATGTAGCTCAAATTTCTTTGTTGGACGTTAGCCCCGTTTCTTCACTCAAAAACAGAAGGTCCCTTTTGTATCGTAATAATGCAGGAAATGAATGAGAGCCACCCACGACTACACGAGATAAGACAACATAAGCTTGTGGATGGATTCATGGATGGATGGAATATATTTGGGAATCTTTGAATTATAATAATACACTCGACTGGATTATATTTGGCAAATACAAATTATACAATACAATGATTGATTCATTAATTGCTCAACCTAGACTTTGCATATTCAGATCAAAATCAAAATCAAATACGCAAATTCCCTAAACCTAGACTTTTGCCTTCCTGCCTTCCTGCCTCCTTCGTCATCCTCATCCTCGTCGTCATCATAGATAGAGGCAGAGTTAGTCGGTGAGTGAGTGAGTGAGTCGTAGTTCTCGTAGATGAATTTCATTGACACAAAAGAAAACAGTTTGAAAAGTCCTCTCCCTCCGTCGAAATATCTCTTTGTAAATTGTCAACAACATCTTCTCTCTTCTCTTCTGAATCGTGTCTAATAACAAGTCTTTTGGAAAAACAAACAAGAGTAATAATATAATATAATATAACAGAGGTAGCCATCAGTTGACTTCGCCAAAACTCTCTCAAACTCAATTCAGGAAAATTCGTTCCTCTAGAAACTTTTATAACTCCAAATTCAAATTTTTTTTTTTTAAATGTTGAATAAAGCTTTTTGATTGGTGTGTGAAAGATTTTACATTTAGTGGACACAACAGAAGAGGACATAACATGTATTAATTCCTAGTCACTAGTTAGAAAGGGCGGGAGGCCCCCTGCTGCCTTGTTTTGTCTGTCCGCTATGTGCAATGATTAAGTGGTTATCTTTATATTTCAATTCAAGTTAAAATATTATAATTATATATAGGATTTCGAGTCTCTGTATTTAGCGATTAAGCATTCACTCGTATTTCATTAAATTTAGACTATTATAATAATCTAATCCTTTAGAATATGACACACCATCAATTTTTTTCTTCTTCTCTAAACAGATGTTAACTATTTCTGTTAGTTTGGAATTTTCTTTGGTTCTGCATTGGCGTCTGGTCCACTCAGAGCTTTTCGCTTTCTCTTTTTCGTGCTATGATCATTTTCTTCTTTCTTCTTGCTTGATTGATGGCCTCTCCCTATATGGATGGAAAAACGCGGTTGTATTAATCTTCAAACCCAACCAAGTGAAAAATAGATATTTTCTTTTTTTCGTCATGCATAAACTCACAAATAAAATTTAACGTCTGTTTAGAAAAGGAAAAAAATACTTGATGATGTGCCACGTTTTAAGGGATTAGATTATTATGATGGTCTAAATTTTACTACCCTAGTTAGTAGTTACCTTACCTAGTAGATAGTACCCTCCCTCTTCGGTTGCTTGGTTCGTTTTTCCATTTATATATAATAAAAAATAGGGGTGTCGGGGGTATTTTATATGTAGATTTATTTTATTTTATTTTATGAGAGAGGTTTTTAGGTTTAAAAAAATGAAGTAATATTATGAGAGACTTTGGAAAAACACAAAGCGGACAGCCCGGCAGAGAAGGCTAGCGATTCTAGCCAGGCAACGAGTAGTTGACTTGAACGTATAAAGGATGCATAATTAGCAAAAACAAAGAGGAAGGAAGGCTAGCCAATCCAGATTCCAGTTCATAAATCATAATCCTAGACGAGACATCGACCACAAGTAAGTAAGAATGAATAAGTCACCGGTCGGCGGCGAAGGAGGAGGAGGAGTCTTCCATGACCCTGAAGTTGACGGCAACGGCAAGGCCAATACTATTATCAATAATACAACTAGTAGTATTGATCAGAATACGAAAGCAATAATATCCAGCGGCGGGATTGGGAGTGGGAGTGGGTTGGTGACGAAGAAGAAGAAGAATATTGTGCGGATGACACTGCTGTTTGTGGGGATGACTGTGGCTTGCTTTATTTTCTACAATTCTGTCTTTCCTTCCAGATTTCTCCCCATATCCTTGTATGACTACACCGGAACCACATCTTCTCAGGCAAGTCAACTTCTTTTCTGCCATCAATCAAATTCGAATATTCAAACTCCTCTGGATCATGTCTTGATCCCAATTCTTTTTTTATTTTTCTTCTGGGGGAGTCATAATCCCAATCCCAACACCGGCATGCTCTGCTCTGCTCTACTTTTACTTTTACTTTTACTTCTTGCGTTGTGGACGATGAAGATTCATAATATTATTATTATACACACATGAGCATGACAAATTGACAATCAAATACTAGTCGCACACTGGTGGATTCTTTTTCCGGTCAAAGCTGCTGTAATTTCATTCCAAACTAAACCAGCCTTTGTAAATTCTAATATCTTCATTGGATCCATCCATGGATTTCCATGCCATCCCACCTTTCTTATTCAATCAATGCGGGCTTCATTTGGATTCTTTTCTTTTCTGTTCTCTCTTCGTAGTAAATATGATTATATCGTTGTTTGTTTCCTCTGTCTTTTTTTGTGTGTGGATGCTAGCTTTTTCAACCAATAAATTTCACTCAAAAAGACATAATGCTTTTACACATGTATGCCCGGCTGTCCACTGTGGCGGCCTTTACTCCCTTGGGCATGGGGCCTCCTATCTTATCTTATGCAATTCCTTCCACTACCAACACTTCAAGGTGGTTGGTGGGTTAAATGATTAAATCCAATCCTTTGCCATTGCTGGTTTGATCTTGACTTGGTGATGCAAATTGCAATTGCAGGGCAACGACCATCTATTGGATGCGGTTCTGAAAAATGCATCCATGAAGGACAGAACCATTCTGGTAACTACATTAAACGATGCTTGGGCTGAACCCAATTCCATATTTGATCTGTTTCTGGAGAGCTTTCACATCGGAAGCAACACAAAATGGCTGCTCAACCATCTGGTTGTGATCTGCTTGGACCAGAAAGCATATGCTCTTTGCTTAGCCTTGCACCCTCACTGTTACGAGCTCTACACTGAAGGTGCCAACTTCACCAGCGAGGCATCTTTCATGTCTTCCGACTACTTGCAAATGATGTGGAGACGGATCAAATTTATGTCCAAAATTCTCGACAAGGGCTACAACTTTGTCTTTACGGTGAGAACCTTTTTTTCTTCTAATATCCTTTGAGGAATGCTAGCCATGTCCCCTCCCCATTTTGTGTTTTTCTGATTCAAGTTGAGTGAAATACGTGACACTTACTTTCGCAATCATCCAATGCACAGGACACTGATATCATGTGGCTCCGGAATCCCTTCCCACAATTCTATCCGGATGCGGATTTTCAAATCGCATGTGATTTCTTCGTGGGTGATTCTTACAGCATAAAGAATTTTCCCAACGGAGGATTTACCTATGTCAAGTCCAATGAGCGCACAATTTGGTTCTATAAGTTTTGGTACTTCTCCAGAAAGGCGTATCCAGAGATGCATGACCAGGACGTACTAAACAAGATCAAATCCGATCGCTCGATTTCCCAAATTGGATTGAAAATGAGGTTCTTGGATACCCAATACTTCGGTGGCTTCTGTCAGCCCAGTAAGGATTTTAACAAAGTTTGTACCATGCATGCGAATTGCTGTGTTGGTCTCGATAACAAAGTCAATGATCTTAGAATTTTGCTTCAAGTTTGGAGAAAGTTCATGGCATTGCCTCCCAACGCCGCCGCCACGGCACAGACTTCATGGACCGTTCCACAAAATTGCAGGTATTCCTAATTAATTATTTTTCTTATCTTTTTGAGACTTTTACATTTGAGTCGGTCCTCATGTCGTGGGTGGGGGCCCCACGATCTCACGGGCCCCACGCCATGTGATGAAATTGAAAGCAAAATAATTCATTTTTAAAGCATTTTCTTCTAGAACTAGAAGTTAGAACCATGCGGTTGGTTTCTTTTTATTTTCTTTTTGGCACTTTGTTGTAGAATCTAGAACTAGACGGTTTGATCCCTTTTACTGTTTGACTTTTTATTCGATTTCCAAGTACTTCCTTCCAACGCCTTGGAAAGCACTCGTGACAAGAGAAGGGAATATTGACGAAATTCTTACGATGTGTAGAGCTTTGTAACATATAATTTACAGGTAAGTCTTGTGTATAAATATATATATATGTATTTTGTTTATAACTGAATTGCCTCGAATACATCTAACTTGTATACAAGAAAGAATCATGTGATGCCTCCGAAAACACTTTTACAATGTTTCATTATTTATAACGTTCCAACAAAAACATTAATTTGATATTCCTTGGTAACCAATTGGATCAACTTACGTTTTGTAATTGATATTGTCATATTTCAGGTAGAAGAAAAGGATTGCTTTGTCAAGTCCCTCTCCCATCCATGCCACCTGTGGAAATGGCACCTTGCTCATCAATCAATCACGTCATTTTACAACTTTTTTGGTTGTATGTTTGTTTTATTTTGTTTGGCGGAAAACAATGAAAACAAACTAATACATAAGGATTTATTCCAGTTGTTTTAGACAATATTAGTTTTATTTTATTTTAAGGAAGACAATATTAGTATTTTAAATCACAATATGAGCATGCATGAAGACGGATATCCACACCACACGTGCATGAACAAAGGAAATATAATCCTACGTTTGAAATGACTCGTTCTTTTTTTAGTTATAGATATAAGAAAATACTAGACACACTGCATTTATATATCAAATTGTGTACAACTTCTCTATAATAGAGGTTGATTCTATTGTATTGGTGAGCTCTATCTCTATTGCCTCTATTAGAAAAATGATACACAATAATAATGCGGTATATAAATATGATAAACCTAACATTACCCATTGATATATATATATATACATACCGCGGAATATAGTTTTGAAAGCCACGTGACTCGGGAGAATAAATATTTGGGCAACCATTAGGTAATATCGTATTAATGTACATATATATCTAAAATGAATTGAAAAGAAATTAGGTCCAGGTCCATCCATCTATCCGCACATTTTTCCCTAAGTTAAACGAAAAGAATTAGTCCATGTTCATGTTGGGTTGGTCTATTCCACTGGGTTGTATTTATTTGGGCCTTAAATAATCAGCATGTGACATGCACGTGGTAAAACCCTTGACTTGAAGGGATTTGGGATTTAGGGATTTGGGCATCAAACCAGCCAAGAAACTTGAGAGAGAAAGAGGAAAAGGAAAATTGAAAACAGGGAGTGAGGGGGGATAGTGACTCGTGAATAACTCAGAAGAAGAAGAGGGCAAATCAAAGATTACAAAAGAAGGATGTCAGATCCGTTCGAGAGAGTGAAAGCAGGCAGGCTGACCTTCAAAGATGGAAGTGTGGCCACTCGCAGCAAAGCCATCGACAAGAAGAAGAACAAGAAGAAAAAGAAGAAGCAGCAGCTTAATCCTAACGACGATGGCCCTAAATCTACTGGGCCCACCGACCTTGATGTGGTGCCTGAGGACGCAGGCGCAGAAGCAGCAGCCGGAGGACCGGAGACTTACACCATTGACGCGGCGAAGCGCATGAAGTACGATCAACTCTTCCCCGTCGAGGCCAAGAAGTTCGGTTACGATCCCAAATCTGTCGCACACAAGTCCATCGAGGACGCTCTTGACGACCGTGTCAAGAAGAAAGCCGACCGCTACTGTAAATAGATATCAATTTCACACATATCGGTTTCCTATTCTTCTTCTTCTTCCCCAATTCCCAGGTCCGTCCCCTTCTTCTTCTTTTACTCGTTCGATTCTTTGTATTTATAATTATTTATTATTAGGGTAGGGATGCGGTTTCAGTATTTCTTAATGTTTTATTGAAATTATGCTTCATTGTGTGTTAGAAATTTGTTTCTTTTTGTTGTCATTTATTTTAAGCTGCTACTGGTTTCTTTGAATTTGAATTGAATGATCAATGTTTGTTTTGTTTGGAACTCTGTCCCCTTTGTATACTACCGCTTATTGTTTATTACCATAACAAATGATCCACATTTCCTTATCACCTATGTAAGTTGGTCACTTCAAATAACCATTTTTCTCTTTAATGTTCCTGAATTGTTACATGTTTCTATCTTTTTTTTGTACCAATAGAATAATCATGATATGCATGGCGCATAATATTTGCTCATGTGCTCTGCCGCCTATCTTCTGCTTAGAGGTCTCACCAACTGACCCTTAATTTGTAATGAGGGCTATTATCACTATCAATCATGCACCTCATCCTGCCTTACACCCATTCCCACTACAACTTTTTTCTAATTTGTACAAGTTCGTAGAAATTTGCAGCATCTAGTGTCAGCTGAACCTAGTTAAAAGTTAGAACTTGTTTTGGTAGGGTTGTTGAAAAGATCTTAATGTTACCTGACCTGACATGTTCCTACATCAATATCATGTTGCATCTTGTTCCTTATTGTTTTTGTTGCAAGTTACTTAATTGTCTCACACCCTCTTTGTTGCCTTCCAGAAGTATGTGCTCATGCATGAGTACAGTCAGCTGCTCATTTGTCTCCTAACATGTTTTTGATTTAATTGATGGCAGGAACGGCATGGTGGAGTTGCTGAGTTTGCAGGAATTCTTATTTAGAGACTGCCAGTGCCATTGCATAATTGACCAAACGTACTCAGTTCTGTACTTTTAATTCAAAGATTGCTCCATGCTTACTGTACCCTTGAATATGTTCTATTAGCGGGGCGTCGCGGCATCTTGTGGTTGCCTATTTTGTTGTTGCTCTGAATCTTCTTGTTTGTTTTTACCTTACCTTGTCATATTAGTTAGGCATGAATGGATCCATTTATAATTGTACTCGCACTACCACTTAGACACAAGCGGTTAAATTTTGGCTCTTGATCTAGTCCACGCATGAATGCAAAGTCCGCAGCCATTCGTTTAGTTGGTTGATGATCCAAAGCATATGAATTCAGAATCGATCGTTCTCCATGGAGATTTGTTTTAGTTTTTTCTCATTGTTTATAAAATGAAAATCGCTGTGGAGACAAGAGAGTAGGCATTGTATGTACCTACTCTTAATATTACTATATTCAACTTTTAAAAATACAATTGACAAAGGAGCCAAAGAAAAATATCTCAGAATGTATGCAAGTCCTGGCATGAAAACAGTTGGACATTAACACAGAGCCTGCGCATCGTTGGTACCTGGACAGAATTTTTTTGTCTCAGTTATGAGATAATGTCACACTTTACTGTTGACATTACAGTATTTGAATATGCCAGTTCCCTTCAAGATTTAGGGAACATAATTCCATAAAAAAGAACAAAAATGGTATACAATACAAGCAAGCACCAGAAGCTTTGAATTATTCTTCTGCCTAGATAATTCAGGTCCTGGTCTCGTTTCGTTTGGCATCTGTCTTTTCCTATAATTGGCGGATGTAGATTGCAGAGATTGAGAGAGAAGGCTGCAAGCTGAATATTGCAATTTGCTAGCCTAGAAAAGAAAATAGAAGGGAAATTCAAGGAACATCTCCACCTTGCATTGCAATTTGCAACAAGTCAAAGGGAAGCACAAACAAGATGCACTGGTTTGGATAAGTGATGATGATGAATATGTAGTTTCCGCCTCAAGGGATTTGAGAGTCTGATCAAGCTATCAACTTGCTTTGTGAGATTGTATCTCGATATATGTGCCACTTTTTATATCTCTGGAACCCAGGAAGAACAGGTCTAAGTCGAGGAGCACCTGTGCACTCCAAACAGCAGCATCCACTTAAATCCTTCACACAGTTCATACAGCATCTGAAACAGAAACGTGCTTATGTAAGTAAGCATTCAGTCTTCAACTAGTAGTAGTAGACAGACAGACTCCAACACCCAAGCCCAAACGGCTTCTCTGGACAGAAATTGGCTTTCCAAATTTTGGGAGAAAGAATAGCTGGCAAAAGGAACTTACAGATAGAGCAGGTTGCAGTCAAGATTTGCACAGTTTCTATGTCTTAACTCAGAGACTTGTAAACCGCATATATAGCATTGAGCAAATGTATTGTTCTCGGAAACTTCATGCCTGTTTGGTTTAGCTATGGCTTCAGGCTTGTAGGCAGGCGGTGGGAGAGAGAGACGAGAGTCAAATACAAACAAATTCCCAACCCATTGGGCAGGACCTTGATTCTCCAGATAATGAGAAACACCACCCTTTAAGGTGTATAAGTTTTGAAAGCCCTGTTGTCTGCCACATGAAATTAAATTAGACCTATAAATGGCCAAAATAAGAAAATTTAAAAAGAGCTACTTCCAACATTGCAACATTATCCTTCCCTCACAACTTTTTTCATTAATCATGCAGTGCAGTGCAGTTGAATGGGTGACTCTTTAACAAAGCAAATCTGTGGTGAGTGCTTGTATCGGAAAGGTACCAGATGGGAAAAGTAGCGACCATGACTAGACCAATACGCAGGCCTTCAAATTGATCACACTAATACAAAGATTTGAATGTTATTCACTAGCTGTTGTAATGCAGGTGATATTCACTGGCAGTAAGAAATGAAAACACACACACACGCAACTTTTTCAATTGTGCATCGGAAACAAGTACAATTTAACCTGGTTGGTCTGCGTAAAGGAAAACAGGTGGTAGAAAAAATGCTGTGTTACCTTAAAATTGTAGAATATACATCACAACGGATACCTCCAGTGCAATACATCAATATATCTGTTTTTTCTTTATCAACATTTTCTAACGGATCTGCAGCAATGACCTGAAACAGAGACAGAAAGTAGTATGTTCACATCCATCACCAGAAATTGAAGTTTCTTGTGTCTTTCATAACATAATAATGCCTAAATGTTCGTATTCCTGTGGACTGATAAATAAATATAAAAAAGTAGAGGCTGCAACATTCATGCTGACATACTTATGTACAGCAGAGGAAGTAAGAAAACGACAAGACGGCTACAAAAATGGGTTGCTTGGCTACAAATTTTATACCTATAATTCTGCCTGATCTTAAAATCCCCATAACAAGGAAAAGACCTTCATCAAATGATGGGAGAAAGACATACTAAGATGGAGGCGCATCGGAACTTTATATCAAACCATTTACACCTTTTGGCTGCTAATTCAGCCAGCAATAAGTCCTTGATCTTTCTCTATTAATTATGCTTCTACACAGTTTTTTGGCTAAAACAACACTACTCCAGCCATCACAATTTGGCTACAAACAGAATGTCTCCGCATGTAGCATGTTATTGAACTAAAAGTCACATAGCAAAAGTTACAGTTCCAAATACACCAATTGGTAATATAGTGTATAAGGCCAAACCTCTGGTTGGGATAACCCAAAAGAAGTGCTCCTAAAGCAGTCCACATCGGGTCGTCGAGCCCCATTAAAATGACCAATATCCCACTCATAACCTGATAACAAACAGCGACAAAATCTTCACACTTCCTATGGCTGAAATTATGAACATGATTGCTGTAAATTATATAGAGGCTACAGAAATAACAGGAATTGCACGCACAGTTAAACATACATCAGAAACATGAACAAGGGCAACATGTCAAACAACATAAGAAGTGCTATATAAACTACCAATGTTAAACAAAGTTAGCTATCAAGAGCCATTCAAATATACAGTCAAGCATAAATGTATATGATTCACAGCATTGTTCCATCCATCATGAATACAAAATCAAAAAGAATTTCCAGATTAAAGCATATGAGGAAAAATCATTTAATTGAAAAGGCTGGGAAGTAAATACCGTTTCTCACATCCAATAAAATTTGGTTCGTTTTAAGATCCTTATTTGATGCTTCACTAGTTGTATTGGCTGCTTCCAATCTTTTCCGCCATTCGGATGGCGTAAGAGGTGTTGCTCGCATTGAAGAGTCCAGCAAAGGAAGATGCGAAATACCTCCTTCTAACTGGACGTGGGGGTGAAAAGAAAATAGATGTAGACATTAGCTCACTCACATAAATTGTAATTAATTCAAAAGTCAAGAAGGAAAAAAAGAAAAAGTTTAAAAGCGAATGGAAAGGATTTAAAAGCACAAGGTGTAGAAGAGAAAGCGATTGGAGCTTGCCTGAACCAGTGAAGGCTTATAGCGTAACTTGAGTTTTGGAAAGGCATGCCCATTCAGTGCTGCAGAAATCTGCACAAGAATGTCGGAAAATCTCTCATCCCCTCTCAACCATTCAACATATGCAAGCGCATCTCTTGACGGTCCACTGTACTGCACATAAGAATTCATACAAACGATTGATTACAAAAGGAAACCAAAGCAATATCATTATAGTTTATTTATACCAAGACCAAAATACATACCTGTGCATTTATCCCTTGTTGATTCACATAAATCCGCCCACGTATGTCACGACCCTCTAAGAAAGAAAGATGCTTGGCCACCTCTGCCTCTGCGTCTTTGATGAACACAAAATGGTAAAAATTGACGACCACCCACTCCTTGTCCTCTCTGCTTTCGTACGTGCATTGTTGCTGTTGTACTTGTAAAGCAACTCCCACACTACGTCCACCTTTCCATTTGCTTCTTTCTGAAAACCAAACGCATTCTCTTCGTCTTTGTCTTTGTCTTTGAATTTGGCTTTGCTGGTTATGTTCCTTATGGATTAACAAGGCAAAGCAAGTTGAGGTTGAGGAGCAGACTGAGAATTCAAAAGGATCTTTCTTTCTTCTGCTCCCTAAAACAATTTGAGTCATTGTCGAGCTCGCTGCACCGGAGATAACCGCCGGCGCCGGAAAACACCCTCTCATCTTCTCTCTGTCTCTCTGTCTCTCTCTCTCTAATAGCCTCTTATCTGCTGGAGGAGCTACCTTCAGTTTCAGCAATCCGTCAGTCCAAAATTACCGACTGTGATGAGAGTGAGCATTCCATTACTTATACGGTGTCGTTTTCCCCCCGGTTTTCCTTGGTTGCCCAGCCCAAAATTAGAGGCCCGATTCAGATGAGGCAAAGAGCCGTCCCTGAACAAGTCAGGCTCAGGCCCAAACAAAAATGGCATAAATAAATAAGTACAGTTTTTATTTTTTTTATTTTTTTAAATACGGTTCTTTTGGTTGGAAAATACGGTTTAACTTTACGCCGCAAGTGAAAATGACTCAATCCAACAACATAAAAAAGTAAAAATGACTCGATACGCTTTGTGACCGAAGAAAAAGAAAAGAAAGAAAATAGATAGATTGATCCTGCTGTTCTTGTTTGAGCGCAGCGAGCACGCAAGCAATCAAAACCCTAACCCTACGGTATTGCAATTAAATTTTTTCGATTCGTTTCGATTCGATTCGATTGGGGAATTAAAGGATGGGGGCGAGTCGAAAACTTCAGGGCGAGATCGACCGCGTTCTCAAGAAGGTCCAAGAAGGCGTGGATGTCTTCGATAGCATATGGAACAAGGTTTGTGCCTCGTTTTTTTGCTTAGACAACGCAAACCAGAGCTGATAAATGACTAATGGGTTCTGTGCAATGTGATTAGGTTTATGATACGGACAATGCGAACCAGAAGGAAAAGTTTGAGGCGGACCTAAAGAAGGAGATTAAGAAGCTCCAGAGGTACAGGGACCAAATCAAGACTTGGATTCAATCCAGTGAAATCAAGGATAAGAAGGTCTTTCTCTTTCTAGTTGTGTGAAATATGTTCAATATGCAATCATGAATTCTTTTCTACCTTGTACTTGATCATTTTGGACATGACAATTAATTCATTTTGATACATGTTGACGTAGGTCAGTGCCTCTTATGAGCAGGCTCTGGTGGATGCTCGCAAGCTTATCGAGCGTGAAATGGAAAGGTTTAAGATTTGTGAAAAGGAGACCAAAACAAAAGCATTTTCTAAAGAAGGCTTGGGCCAACAACCTAAAACCGTAATTGCCACTCCTTTGCATTTCCTTCTCTTCCCACCTCATTTTTAATCGATTCCTTTTTTTTTTTGGGTTGATCATGTCGTTGTGGCAATGCTTATTTCCTCATTGCATTTGTTGATCTTGTTTTCTGGAATGTAATTTTAGTTATTCTTCATGCTTCTTGTTTATAATGAGCGGTGCATACTCTGATTTCTTGTAGTTTTAGTGTAATACTAATACTAATCATAATGGATATAATGATGAGAGGAATATTAATAATAGTAGTCATAATAATAATAATAATCATCATCATCATTATTGTACTTGTTATAGCTTATACAGTGTAGCCCTTGTATCCTTATGAGAATTTATTTAGTAGTTGTTATCTAATTGTCATTCTTCTTAATGATAGGATCCGAGGGAGAAGGCCAAGTCTGAGACAAGGGATTGGATAAACAATGTGGTATGTGAAACACTTTTGCTTAAGGTCTATTTTTACCGATTTATGTACCTTAGAAAGCGCATGAGTAGAGAAAGCAATATGTTTTAAGACGTGTCTGCTGCATTTGTGGTTTAATCATCCCTGCTTCATGTTTGGCTTGTGTCTGTTATATGTTTAATTATGTGGTAATACTGTTGAATGGTTGTGTTTCTTCCATGTGTTGTGGTGTTTTAAAAGTAGAGTTCTTTAATAGGCTGATAGTTGAAATTGGTGCCTGGTGCCACTAATTGAGCTTATTGTAATGTTGTTCTATTTTGGTTCAATTATTGTTTAACTCCCAATTGTATGTTGTTTCATTATAACTTGCAAATAATGGTCTTGCAATCACATTTTATGCGGTCAAATTTAAAAGTTGAAATTGTAAATTATCATTCAGTTAATACTTTTGTGTTCAATTGTGTTGAGAAGGTTGGGGAGTTGGAATCTCAGATTGACAGCTTTGAAGCTGAGATTGAAGGCCTATCTTTCAGGAAAGGGAAGGGCAGACCACCCAGACTGGTAGGAGAAAGAAAAGCACACCAATAGAAAATGTTGGGGTTTTCAGCATACTTTGACATTGTTTCTTTGTTCTGGCAGACCCATCTAGAGACATCTATTACTCGGCATAAGGCTCACATAATGAAGTTAGAACTGATCCTGAGGCTATTGGATAATGATGAACTGAGTCCTGAGCAGGTCAATGATGTCAAAGACTTCTTGGAAGACTATGTTGAACGCAATCAGGTTTGTGGTGATTTACATTTTACCTTTGTTTCTTCAGCATCTCTTAAAAAAATTCTTATATGGCATTCTCTGCCATGCTTATGTATGTACTTCACATTACCTATATCAGACTTTTTTAAAAATGTTATTTTTAGGAGGATTTTGATGAATTTAGTGAAGTTGATGAGCTTTACAACACCTTACCATTGGACAAAGTGGAGTCGCTTGAAGATCTGGTTACTATCGTCCCTCCTGGTCTTGTCAAGGTAATTTTTCTTTATGCAGTTTTTATTTAAGGTTCTTATGTTCAGTTGGAGTTTGTAGTGTTTTTTTATTATAAGTTTTTTCAGAAAGGTCTCTTGTCAGTTGAAATGGATATGTGGAAACAGGAAATTGTTGACCAACTGCCTTTTTTTATGGGCATCATATATAAGAGTTTGCTCATGTTGTTTTATGAAGTATAGAGAAGAGTCAAATTACTCGAAATTGATTGCAAAACTCTGCAATGCCAGCAGAGATTTCTGTTTGGTGGTTTGTGGAAAGTTAATTTTGGATCTTGCACTCCACTCAGATAACCATAGTTTCTACACTTCAGTGTTGTCATTCATTTTATACAAGTTTTCCTGACGTGTAAGAAAACTGGACACTAGATGGCTTCTATATTCCACGCTAATAGAGGTTCTCATTAGTAGTTAAGTTCAGATGCCAAGTTGACTCATCCTCTGTTAACTGAGTTCTTAGTTGCGACTTGTGGTTGACTAATTTAAGCCTATTCCCAGTTGTTTCTTTAACTGTACAAATCAATTGTTTGCTTATGAATTTTGTTGCTTTTGTGATCTGGATTGCATGATCTTTTTCCTGGCATCAGGTGTCATTGATTTCTTAATATACTAAGATCGAAGGATTAATGAGCACGTAAAAACCCAGTTTAATTTTTCCTTTTTTTGGGGGGCAGGGTGCACCGGTGCTTGGCTTGAAGACTTCTTTGGCAGTATCCGCATCTCCAATGCCTGTACGTCCTCAGAATCTTGAGTCAATGTTATTGTAATGAGTAGGGTGTTGAGGAGTTGAAGCTGTATGGGTTCTGTTGAAGAAGCTGAAATTCACATATTTAATTTTGTATTTAAAAAAAAATTGCATCCTTAAGTTGTGTAATGGTGCAGAATGCTGTTGAGATGTGTTTGTGGTAGACATTTTGCTACCTTTATCACATGGTGTCATCCTTGTCTCAGAGGATGGGGTCAATAGTTGGTGGAGCACGGTCATCTGTTGTTGATCAAAGATGGACTTGTGTTTGCCTATAAAAATTACTGTGCAGTTGATTGACTAGCATGTACTTAAGGTGATCGTTAATGGAATTAGGTTCACTTCTAATATAAAGTGTCATTTTGCTTGCTGATATAGAACACTAAACATGAAAGATTTATCTAATTGTTAATTTATTTATTTTCATTCGTTTTTAGTAGATTTTATATCAAATTTGGTAATCAATTTAAGTTATCTTTGGTTTGTAGGAAGTTTAAATTGAACCCTAAAACCTAGTCTCTTTGCCTTCTGGTTTCCTCAGTAGAATCTTTTAGAACTTGTGGATATGTTGATGACCTCTGCTTTCTTTCTGTAAGATGTTTTATCTCAATTGATGCTGCTGTACTAAGGGTTAATTTTTTTTTTTTTCCAAGGCCGCAGCTACTTCCACTACTCAGCAGAGTACTTCTGTACAAGAGCCAGTTGAAGATACAGTTTCCCAGGACAGTAATGTTGATAATATTCCTAGGACTCCACCTCCTAAAAGTAGTGCACTTGCTTCTTCTCCTGCATCAACACCAGTTGGGGGTCATGCAAGTCCTCTCTCTGTGAGTGTTTCATCTCACAATCTGCCTGGTGCGCCAAGTGTTTCAGCCGTTCCAGGTTCAATTGCTGTTCGTGGTGTCACAGAGAATGCAGGAGCTTCTAATTCTTCATCTCCTGTAAGTCTGTCCGCTTCTGTGAAGGAAGAAGAATTAGCAAGCTTCCCAGGCCGTAGACCATCGCCATCTCTTTCTGATGCTGGGCTTGTGAGGGGCATTGGTAGAGGTGGCCTCTCTGCACAGATTCCATCTAGTATCCCTCTTAGTTCTAGCAATGTAGCTCCTAGTAATAGTACCCTTAGTGCAGCTCCTTCGGTTTCTGATGTGACAAAGAGAAATATATTGGGAGCTGATGAGAGAATTGGGAGTAGTAGCGTAGCGCAGCCTCTTGTTTCCCCTCTAAGTAACAGATTGATCTTGCCTCAAGCTGCCAAGGCTAGTGATGGAAGTATTCCAGTTGATTCTGGTAATGCTGGTGAGGCTGCTGCTATTCCTGGCAGAGCATTTTCTCCTTCTATGGTCTCTAGCATGCAATGGAGGCCTGGAAGTTCCTTCCAAAACCAGAACGAAGCGGTATGTTATTTTCCACTAATAAGCTTTTCCCCTCTCTCTCTTCCGCTTTTATGCTCATATGGATGCAATGTCTAATGCTAGATTAATTAGCTCCTTGCATGTCTACCATTTGTAGAATTCAATATATGTTTGTGTATTGCTGCTTTGCCATTATATATCTTCTTTATTTGACTGAATCATAGGAAAGAAATTTTGTTGACCAGATCCGTGTGGTGCTATTTTAATTGAACTTACCAATTATCAGGGGTTGTTTCGTGGAAGAACTGAAATAGCACCTGATCAGAGGGAGAAATTTTTGCAGCGGCTCCAACAAGTGCAGCAAGGTCACAGTACCATTCTCGGCATGCCTCCTCTTGCTGGTGGAAATCATAAGCAATTTTCTGGACAGCAGCAAAATCCACTCTTACAACAGGTATTTTTTTTATTTTTTTGGCAGATTTCACTTTTAGCTTCTGTTTTCTTCTGATTCCGCGAACCTCTTGTGGACAAATTCAATATTTGAAAAAGAGCAATTACTGTATTTTATTGATCTTAATTTATATCATACTTTCATGGAAACAGGTTTATGTTTTTTTATTTCCAGAAACATCCCTTTGGTCGCACTTTGTTTGCTGATCCAATTAGCAACATCTATTTTCTATTACTGAATAAGATATGTTTATTTGGTGCAAAAGACCAACCTGGGGGTTAGTTTTAGGCCCATGGTTTGCTCCCATGTGGACTGAGGTTTGAAACCCCAAAAGGTGCCTGTCTAGCTATTTGTTAGTGTTTCCTGCCTTCCAAAGATTGTAGGGGCGGCCCCAGTTTAAAAGCTATGTCCGCTAAGCGGATTGGTGGATTTCTGGGTATCAAAAGCAAAAAACAAAAACAATAGTTGCAAAATAATTGTTTTACATGAGATTTGATCATATGTGCAGTTTAATTCTCCGAACTCATCTGTATCTTCTCAAGCTGGCCTTGGACTAGGGGTACAAGCCCCAGGTCTTGGTACTGTTGCACCTACCACCTTACAGCAGCAGCTAAATTCTATCCATCAACAATCTAACCAACAGGCATTGATGTCGAGTGGACCAAAAGAAGCTGGTAATCTCCATCTTTATTCAGTTCACGCTATTGTTAAAATATTTTCATTTTATTTACTGGCGCTATTTCGTCATGAGGACACTTTGATTTCTTCCACCAAGAATTGAAACTCTGAATTGAATGCAGAAAGTGCAAAGTACGTCTTCCGAAATAATAAGAATTCCATAACCAACAAAGAGTGAAAGTTTACTGTCCAAACTCCCACTACTCAAACACTTGGGTTCGGATTTAACAAATAGTGGACTGTATTGAGCAGCCCTGTGTACGTGGGTGCAATATGATCGAAACTGAATAATCTCCTGTTTTATGCGATGCAGATGTTGGTCATCCAAAAGTTGAGGACCAGCAGCAACAACAAAATGCACCTGATGATTCAACTGCAGACTCTACTCCGGTTTCTGGGCTTGTAAAGAATCTAATTAATGAGGATGATTTGAAAGCCTCATATGCAATTGATTCTTTGGTATGTGGAATAGTTTTCTTGATTACTATATTATGAGTCCTTGCCGACTATATAATTTTTTACTAGTTATACATTATTCTTGCATAGGTCAGGTAGTTAATTGTTATCAAAATTTATTATATGATTCTGTTAAACAATGGATAGACAGGGTAAGATGAACATGGTGGCTACTCTATATGTACTGCCTGCCTAAGTAGAATCTATACAACGATAGGCATAAAAAGTTGTGTCAAACTTAATTTATTCCAAAATGCCTTAAATATAATAAATTACCAATAATAATGATGATAATTCGATATATTTATACAAGTCTTTAGGCTAATTTAGTTGAGTTACAGATGTTATGTTCTCCATAACTCTCTGCATTTCTCTACGTACTATTCCATGCTTTTCATTGTGGTCAATCAATATCAATACTTGTATTCAAATATAATCCTCATAATGTGTTTAAATATAATTGTTTACTTGATATGTCTAATCTTAGGGCCCATATTATTTATTTAATACATTTGGGAACATATATTATATCAGAGTCTCTGGTGGTGTCTTTTTTCTTTTATCGGGCCATTGTTTTGCTCCTGATTTGTGTAAATCATATTTTTTCTGTAAGATGATTGCAGTGTGCATCATGGACACGCTGATTTATTTGGAGAAGAATGGATGGTGAATGTGACTTGTAAAATCTTTGTGTTTTGTAGGCTGGAGTTTCTGGCTCTTTGACAGAGCCTGCTCAAGTACCACGAGATATCGATCTCTCTCCTGGGCAACCTTTACAGCCCAATCAACCTTCTAGTAGTCTTGGTGTTATTGGCCGAAGAAGTGTTTCTGACCTTGGTGCAATTGGTGATAACCTATCTGGATCAACTCCTAATTCTGGGGGAACGCATGATCAGTTGTATAATTTGCAGATGCTTGAGGCTGCTTATTACAAACTTCCACAACCCAAAGACTCGGAACGTGCAAGGAGCTACACTCCAGTATGGACCCAATTATCTTTACTATTTAATTTCCTTTTTATTGCGCATGAATCTTAATTTTTTTCTTCAATACCTATCTTCCTTCCTTTTGCCATCTACAGAGGCACCCTGCAATAACTCCTCCTAGCTACCCCCAAGCACAAGCACCTATTGTTAACAATCCTGCCTTCTGGGAACGTTTGGGTCTTGAACCATACGGCACTGATACCCTGTTCTTTGCATTTTACTATCAGCAGGTACTTCTTATAAGTTCATTTACATTCGATGCTGTCCTTTGATACATTCACTATGAAGTATGAACTTGTTCTCAAGTGCATTACTGTATGCAGAACACTTATCAGCAATATTTGGCGGCCAAAGAGTTGAAGAAGCAATCTTGGAGATACCACAGGAAATATAACACTTGGTTTCAACGACACGAGGAGCCAAAAGTTGCCACTGATGAATATGAACAGGGGACATATGTGTACTTTGACTTCCATATCGCAAATGATGATCTACAACATGGATGGTATGATTTTATTGATCCTTAAGTTTCAAGTTCAAGTTTCTGTGTTTCTTCGTACTACTTGTTCTTATGTGGAGTCTAAGGTGCAAGTTTTCATTTGGATGCTCTTATGTATATTTCAACTTGTGGAGATACTCTACCTCCCTTTGCCTCAAGATATTTGAGTAAGAGGAGCAAGATTTTATTATTGGAGAGATCATTTATGAGGCATGTGGTTGCTGTTATTTTCTCTACATCTAGCGTAGGGAGAGTCTCTTCGATGTAAAATTTGCTTCAATTTTCTCCCAGTTTGGCTCTTTGATGCTTTGATGATTGACAGTCATTATCTTTTATCTATTTACATTTTTGTGGCTTTGGGGCTTGGCTTGCATGAGGGAGTGGTGCTCATCCTCCTGGCATGTATGCGGGCATCTGCATGCACAACGCATATGCACACACATCGTCCCAAACAACACACATGTGAATAGTGAAACAATCACTTAATTTGGGAGGCACGCTTATGCTTGACATTTTTGTTTCCTTTGATGATATAATATCTCTTTTCCAATTACATAATGATTTGACGATGGTTATATGTGATGTTTTGATATGGTACAGGTGTCAAAGGATCAAAACCGAGTTTACTTTTGAATATAACTATCTTGAAGATGAACTTATCGTTTAGAAAATGTTGAGAGGATGCTATGCTACCACATTGAGCATGTCATGGTCAACTTCCTGGTTTGTAATTTTTCCTTTCCTTTTTTGTCATGTCATGTGCCTCTCGTCTCGTTCATAGTATATATTTTAGGCTCCTGGTTGGTACCTTATGGTAACATAGAGAGTTGAACTGGAAACATGTGAGGCTTTATTAAATGGTTTGGGTCTTTGTTGTTTGCAGGTAATAATACAGTCAGAATATTGGTGGTGGGAGCTTGTTGATGGTTACAGGTTTACTAGGCTTAATGATGTCTATCAAGTGTGTGATCTTTTTTTTAAATGTAAAAGGGAGACAATTTTTTTCTTTTACGTCTATAATGAAATACACATGCATTGTTATTTCTCCACTTTTATTTTATTTAGCACATTATGTATATTGACGAAAGCAAAAGGCAAAGTTGAAAGCTCAAAGCTCAATTGCTTGCTAGTACTAGTAGTCTAGTAGGGTGCTATGCTATTGGCCGCTAATTTATTCTAGGTTATTAAACTTTGATAGTAGCTCTTTTTAATTTTAACGTGGTAAAGCAAATGCTGCTGAATCTTTTACTTTGATTTTCCACTAGCCAGAGCAACTATTTGTTGAACCCGATTTACTCTTAATAATGTTACTTCACTCGAATTATTGACTGACATCAAGCAAACCAGAGTTAGAATGAAGACGATACGGTATCCGGTTATCCTTTTCTATTATTACCAAATCTAAATCTTGGTGGTTTAAAACTTTGAATGCTTGAAACTGTTCATATGTGTGTTCATTCATACCTCCGTTGATACAAAATTAAAATATTGATTATTCTTTCATGCATAAGAGCATCTACGATAGGGGGGTGTATGTTAAATATACACCCAGAGTCACTGGAATCGTCTCTAATGGGGAGATGTAAATAGATGTAAATATACATTACCCCCATGGGGATGTAAAATAAAATTTATATTTACATATATTGTTACGTCTCTTACAGGCAGGATCCACTCGAGAAAAGAGAAGAAAAATAAAGAAAAGTCAACATAAAAGGCTGGGATCCACGGCTACACCCCCAAATTTACACCCCCACATTAGAGGAAAAAATATATTTACACCTCTCAGAGGTGTAAAAAGGATGTAAAAGTGGCTTTACACCCCTGAATTTACATCCCCCCACTGTGGATGCTCTAACGACTCGAGAACGTGAACACGAGTTAAAGAGCAATTGTTATTCTTATTAATATTACAACCAAATTAACGACCTTAATTGACGATCAAAACCACTAATAAAGTCATGGAATGATTGTTTGAACTGGTTCAGCATCGCACAGTGCACACAGTAAGTTAGTCAAAGTCCTAAGTGGAAAAAAAATGGTAAGTTAATAAAAGTCGAAGTTGGTAAAAGTGGTGTTTACAATAAGCTGTGAATGAGAGACGTGGCAAGGTTCTAGCAAGGGAGCTAACCAAGCGAAGCGAGAAGCGAGAAGCGAGAAGCGAGAAATGGTGGTGGTGTTACCTCTACCTGGTTCCGGATCCAATAACAAGTCCCTCTGCCGCCTCTCCTCCTCCACCGCTGCCGCCACATCATATTTTAGACGACGCCGTATTGTCGCCGTCACCAATTCCACCATCAACGGTTCTCACTCTTCTTCATCAGCGGAGGCAGAGGAGGACATCCAGATTGAGGAAATCAGGGTGTGCACCAACCGGACTTGCCGTAGACAAGGTTCCTTTCAAACCCTTGACACTCTCACCGCTCTCGCGCCCTCCAACGTCGCCGTCAAGTCCTCCGGCTGCTTGGGCCGCTGCGGCGCCGGCCCCAACCTCGTCGCGCTGCCTGCCGCCACTTTTGTCGCTCACTGCGGGACCACAGCTCGAGCCGTGGAGGTCCTCGTGGCACTAGTACTACTCAGCCGCCGCCGACGAGGAGGAGGTGTTTCGAATTCGGACGGTGCTAATGCTAATAAGAACATTGAAAAAATTGCAAACAAGAGTTTGGAAGCGCTTGCGTTGAGAAACAAGGCTCGGAATGAGCTTCTTCACAACAACAATTTCTCCCAGGCTGACCTCTTCCTCTCTCAGGTTACTATTAACACTAATATTTAATTGATCATTTCATTTAATGATTAATTAATTAATTAATTATGCATGCATGTTGGTTGTTCCTTCCTTCCTTGCTTGCGTGCTTGAAATTTGATTTACTGAGCCTTGAATTAATTGGTGGATGCCTTGCTTCCTTGCTTCCTTGCTTCCTTGCAGGCTATAGAATTAAAACCAATTGGTGGTATCCATATTATGTATAAAGACAGGTCCCTTGCAAGACTGGCATTGGGCAATTATTCCGGGGCTCTTGAAGATGCTGCCCAAGCTTTGGCTTTAAATCCTCTGTATCCTGAGGTGCCCTCATTATTTACTTCACTCCTTCATTAATTTCTCATTCCACCAAGTTTATTACTCACTTTCAAAGTCCTATAAAAGTTCATCATAATGTGCATCTTGCAGGCTTACATTTGCCAAGGTGATGCATTCTTGGCTCTGAACCAATTTGATTCTGCTCATAACTCATATATGGCTTCTTTAGAGATAGATCCTTCTCTTCGATGTTCCAAATCTTTCAAGGTATAAATGTATTAGCTATTAGTCTATTTCGATGACCGACCTCAGATTCTATATATCTCTATTTTGATCTTTTGGTTTTAATCTTGGGAAAGTTGGTCACTCCTCCAAATAGTTCTTTGTGGAGTGTTTTGGAAGTTGCATGTAATAGTTTCTTCTTTCCTTATTTTACGATCTCTGCATTGCTCAGCTGCACAGTCAAATAATCCGTGATGTCATCAGCATTGCATTGTTTCACATTTTATTGCTATCATATTTTCTTACCATTTATGCAGGCTCGGATTGCAAACCTTGAGAAACTCACCACTGGAAATATGCCTTAAGATCTGCAATGTGCTTGGAGCTGTTTATAAATCAATTACAGAGCTTTGATGATAAAAGGCACAGTGTTTATTCATCTTCTATCCAGGTTGGTTTCTGTCTTTCAAATTTTACTCATACATCATCAGTTTTTTTTGGTTCATTAGCCTAGCACTATGTCATAGGATGGGTGGGGGGAGCTCACATTATGCTGATGTTACCTGATTTGGTTGTCATGTAATCTACCTTAGACTTTTGTTATACTAAGGATCAGTATCCATTGTTTATTTATACTGATCTTCTAATCTACATGACACGTTACGTTACGTTACGTAGTGCTCTCATTACCAATTATTTAGAGACATTCATCAACAAGTTTCTGAAGTGTCATTTTTTCATCTTGACTCTTGAGTGTGGTGGAATCGAACATGTTTAAAGGGGGGTTCTGCGGAGTCCTACTGCCTACTGTACAGCACAACTCAAACTCCGCAAATTCATTTCAAGGCTTAGAAGTTTTGTCAGGGATTAAATATTCAATACATTCATGATTTGGGGCCTTTGGTGTTCAATTTGCTTCCCCTACAAACTTAATGTAGACATTGCAAGAGATCATCTCATAAGATTCTTTTGGATTTGGATGATGAACTTAACATATAGACACACATATATATATATATTAGGGTACCAAGTGTCGCCATAAGAATGTAGTATCCGAATTTCTCTATTGAGAAAAGTTAATATGCTAGGCTGCTAGTACTACTAGAATGACCATAGAGCGAAGTCAACCGGGTACAGCCATTAAGTTACGTAGAGTTTTGATTACGTCCACATAGAAACAAATCCATGTTCTTGACCCTTTCCCACAAACTAGAAGAAGAACCCTTCTTCTCCTTTCCGACGCCAATCTCCTTCCCACTACCATTACTATTACCTCCTCTCTTGATCAGCCTCCGATTAATCTTCCGTATCTGAAAGCAAACCTCCAAATTCACCTGATTACCATTTATCTTGCTCTTGTTGATGTTGCAACTCTCTTCTTCTTCTTGTACAAGTTGAAAGGATCTTTGGTCTCTCTTCACAAGTTGCTCATAGTAGTCCTTGTTCCTCTTCTCCAAGCCATAAATCTGTCCCTGAAGGTCCTCGATTTTACGGCTAAGCATGCACACCCTCTGGTCTTCCCTCGTCTTGAGCAAACACCGAGCTAGCTCGCCAGCCTTCCTCCTGATGAAGAGAGACTCGGACGCAAGGGCTTTGTTCTCTTCCACCAAGGCACCCACTTTATACCCCAACTTGGCATTCTCATTGAGTAAGATGAGCCTCTCAGACTCCAACACCTCTAGCAAGCTCTTCTGCAGCTCTATCTTCCTGGATGCATCCTTGTATCGCCTCTCCGTGATGTTGGCCTCATCAAGTAAGATATCATATTCAACATTCTTCACCACAATGTCCGTAACGATGGAATCTAAATCAAACATGGTGTCATCATGTTGAGTAGCAACAGAAGCAGCGAGTAGTAATGTTGGAGGCAATTGCTGATAGGAGAGGGAACTCTCTACGTCCGAATCAATGTGGCTTGTGTAAGCATCATCATCTTCTTCTTGGTCGTCATAGTCATAATAGTCATTATCTATTACTGAGATTTGGGAAGAGGGTGGACGGTGATGCTGAGTCTTGGCGAGAGTTTGAATGTAACGGTCAGATAAGGTGAGGTAGGAATTGTACAAGTCTCGAATCAGGGAGAGCAGCTGAGGACGTCTTTTGTAGTAAGCTTCAGCACGTTCAGCGAAGGTGTCCCCAATCTCTTGTTGAGCTGTGGCTCTGCTACATCCCAACATCTTCATCTTCTCTTCCACATCTGACATAAAATTACATTTACAAATATTGTATTATTGTTTGAATATTACAATTAAATTTAAATGACATCCATTATTCATGTCCCATAATTTCGAATTGCATTCCAATTCCAACGTGCACCAATTGAAGTTTGAAGAGAGAAATTGACATAAGCACCAAATTGGAAAAAAGATATTGAATTCTCATAAAAAATTAAAAAAAAAGATATTGAATTTCACAACGATAGAAGAAAGCAGAAGGGCTGACGCGTATTTAATGTTGGTCAGACAGAGAGAGTCATGTTCCTATCCTATTAGTAGCGTGCCTATTTATTTGTAGCAGAAAACACCAAACCAAACGAAAAAAATGAAGGACACGTCACTCTCAATCTTTCCATTCCAGGGAGATTCCCTCTTGTAATTATTTAAGGCGTCAAGTTTAAATCGAATTTGAAAAGAAACAGATCATTTCATTGGCAGCCAAGCAAATGAGATGCATATTGTAATAATAAACTGAAAAAAGGGCATATGGAGGAATGCGCGTTGAAAGCGACGTTGGGAAAGAAAGGTCGCTGCCTCGAATATCAACAAAATCAATTATATAGTGCGACAAGGCAAAAGCCTATCCTAGCTTAGCTTTCGTCAAATCAGAGTTTCAAATTCAAATTACACAGCACAGCGTCATATCACATCGTCAGATTCAGTCAGATGCAAAAACAGGAAGAGAGAGAGAGAGAGAGAGAGAGGTGGTACCAGCAAGGATGGACAAAAGCCATTTGGGTTTCATGGTGGAGGGGTTGGTGGAGGTGGTGGTGCAACTGTTATTGCTGCTGCTGCTACTGCTTAAGCTCCTCCGTCTTGGAGTTGGAGTTGGAGTTGGAGTTGGAGCTGAGTGAATGGAAGCCGACATTATTATTGGTTTCTCCAGTGTCTTCATATCTCTCCGTCCTTAGACCAAACACGTTACCTTACTAGCAGAGACAGAGAGAGTCGGTCAATAAACTTGAAATGAAAAGCACACAAACATTTATTATTATTATTATACAGTATATACACAGTATACTTGTTAATATTATTACTGCCATTGATCAGACCAGTATTATTAGGAGGGAGGAATGATGGAGGGAGGAGGGAGGAGTGGAGAATAGAAATACAAGAGTGGTTTGTGAAACGCATTAAATACGAGGCCCTACAATTGTCTTCTTCTATCTAATTCTTCTGACTTGTGTTGTGTTGGGGTGTGAAAATACAACAGCTTTGCTCTTCTTCTTCAAGCATGTCGCCTGTCGCCTATCGCCTGTCGCCTGTCTAGTACGACAAGTTGTTTTGTACAACAGAAGAAGAAGAGAAGAGAAGACATTTCAAAAAGCGCAGATCTCGAGAAAAGAAAGAAACCTAATGATAATAATAAAAGAGAAACATCAAATCAAAACTATTCATAGATATCAATGAACATCGCCGCGTTGCAACTTGCAACAGCAGTTACTTTCTGCTCATGAGGACTCCACTCAATTCCCCATGCACATTATTATTTTTTCTTTTCTTTTCTTTGAAGCTCCATGACCATGATTTTTGTTGCCACTTTGTTCTTAATTGTTTGTTAGTTTTGACTGAAAGAAGCTAAACTAAAGCTATTACGATGAGTTTGAAATTGTACGATACGCTAGTGCATGAGATTGGGAATTATCATAATTAACAATCAATAGCCTAATACATAATTAATAATAACATGAAAATGGCTTTAATTAATAACAAGTTCCTGAGGAGGAAGAGGAAGAGGAGCACATATGTTTATATTTTGATGAATAATAATACTACATATGTCTATGTTTTGATGGTAGAAGAAGAACGATCCAAGCAGCAAGCACAACAGACAAGACAAGACAAGACGAGAAGAGTTACCTACTTCTTGGGTTATTTGTACCAATTTTGAAAACCCAGCAGCAGCAGCCCAGGCGGCCAGCCTCTTACTCAATACACAGAAAGAGTAACGTTTGATGATGTTATAAATAAATAATGAATGAGACGGAGGAGGAGGAGGAGGAGAGGAGAGGAGGAGGGAATCGCTGTTGGGCGTTGTGTTTAGACGACAACACTTGTGGTGTTGAGTCTCAGAGTCTATTATATGTACTCTTATAAATGTACTAGTACTGGCTTTCCTGCTTTGCATTCGGGTTTCTCAAATTTTCTATATGCAAGCAAATCGAGCAGCAAAAGCTGGTATTTGCTTCTGATACTAATAAGATTTGAATAAACTGGAAAATATTTGTAATTAGTTAGTCATAGTCTCATAGACATTGCTTGCTCGACAGCATCCTCGAGTCAAGTCATTCGCATCTATAACAGACATTAATTAGTTAACTCATTCTTTTAACTTAAGACTCGTGGTATTATTGTCTTTATAGAATTCTCTAAATTGAAACATTAGTTTACAGAAACAGTTCCACCAGTGACAACTGACAAGGGCGCGCGTGAAGCAAATAGGAACACCAAATCTTCATAAAACTTTCTTTATGCGTCCACACTCCACACCCATGAAAACTTATCTAACAATAAAAATGGGGTACAAAGCAGAACCATCTCTTCAAATGCCTATCAGATGTTAGTGGTACTCCAGTCAGTCTTCCCTCCTTTTCAAAATTCAATCGCAATTGCTCCGCCATTCAACAACCAAAACAACCTTGAGATAAGCTCGCTTCTCGGACTCACTTTTCGTATCATCAAATAAGCCTACCCCTTATGACCACCATACCTGCACGCAACTTCTTCCCCTTCTATAAGCCTCTCCACTGCATCAGAAGGAAGGCCAATCATCTCAAATGTCTTCTCCCACACTTCGTGAGAAGTTTCAACATTATGAGCTTCTTCGGAAGGATTCGTTGGACGGCAATCTTGAGAAATGAACGCACAAACCGGCCAGTCATCCGCTTTCAACAATTCACAGTACTCAGGAACCTGGGGATCAGTGGCTGCAAAGAGAGCACTCCTGGAACCTGCATTGAATAAACCATTACAAGGCTTGGTTTTCACATTTCCTCACCTCCCCTCTTTTGTACTTCTCTCTTTTGATTTGGGCTCATTATTGCCACTATTGGAAAACATCAAAGAAAACCAGCTTTTGTTCTTTTTATTTTATTTTAAAAAAACTAATAAGCTCATGACATGATCTCTTGTCACATTTTGCAATGACCTATATGGCGATCAGTTGCTCAGTGTTCTAATAAGTACAGAGAGGTACTACCTTAAAGATTTCTAATGTGCTAGCAGTTAAATTAGGCGACTACAGTAAGTGAGATCAGATCTGCTAAGTATATCACTTTTGGAGATCCTTCAAGTAGAAGAGTCGAAAAGTAGAGAAGTACTACATTAAAGATTTCAAATTTTTGGCCTCTATTCAAGTTACATGTTCCATATGTTATCAATATAAGTCTCCTATGCCTTATGTGGTTAGAAAAGTTGGATAGAATCTTGACTACCTTGGAGCTAGCTAGTTAAACAGCACCTCCTGATAGGTTAATTCTTCTTAAGGTTAACAAGCTACAGGCTTATATGACTAAAATTATGGCCAAACTCTAATTGTACTGACATAATGACATTAATTCATCAACGATTACAGTTACCAACCTCACTTCTGGTTGGTTTCATCAACTTATATATAAGAAGGTGGAATGGTAAATCAAATGTAATAGCAAGAAGACACACCTTCTTGAGCACTAAAGATAAAATAGGGTATTAGATGATAAGCAGCTTGAACAATTTTGGGAAGATCCCTTGCCTGCAATTAATTGAAACCCAATGTGATGCACCAATGCACTAAAGTTTATATATAAAGAAGATTTGAATGTAAAATCTAGAAGGTAAATAAAACCTATAACATGATACACTGTCAATTATAACTATTATATATAAAAAATAGAAGGCACATCCTTTTTCTAGATAAAAATGAAGTGGAGGGTGAAGGAATGCGTCACGATACTTACAACATTAGTCTGCACAATTCCAGGTGAAACACATGCTACAGTAATGCCAGATTCGGCAGGGAGCCGCTTATGTAGAACACTACTAAACATAATCTGCAATCCAAATATAACTATGTTATAGTTTTCTTGTTACAGCTTCAGAAATTATATAGATAACCACAATAGTTAATTCACGTTTCATTATGTGCAAGTGTGCAGCCTTGGGTGGTAGATATTCCGCTTTCACAAACTAATAGAGAAAAGAGATCAGAGCTGAAACAGCCCAAAAAAAGCCAATGTACAGCACCAATTAATTAAAAAGATCTAACTGAAGGTAGACACATCTGTATTTCAAATATATAAATATTATATCTATGTATGGGACATTCTCCCATAAGTATTTAAGGATGGATTACATACTTCTAATCTCGGCCATTGGATTGCATCTAAGAGAGTACCAACACATTTAATGAATGCAATCCAACAGCCAATATTAGAAGTATGTAACCAATCCTTTAACATAAAATAGTTGTTGGAGAATCTCCCATCTATGTGTATATATATAAATGTATATTGAGTGGCTAAACAATTTGCAGATCCAGAGGACCTGAATTCAGTTTGACAAGCCTAGATAGGAACACAAGCTTGTAAGAGCTTGTGCCAGCTAAAATATGGAAACCATCAATCAATAAAGATTTCCTAGAGCACCTGTGCCAGCTTGCTGCTTGAGTAACCCACTAAGCTTGTATATTTTCTTTTCCCAGAAACGACATTCATGTCTTCTGTGTCAACAAAGCCAACATAATGCATCTACATAAAGAAGGACAGAGGTTTCTCAGATTTAAATAACATGACAATAAAATAAGAGTATCAAAATGTGGAACTAACTTTAAAAGAGCCTATGAATAGATCTAATTCTAGTTAGCACGTACACTGACTAGCTTTTCTTTCCATGTGCGCTTATATACGGGTGTGTGAATGTACACGTATCATATATACCTACAACGGAATGATGATGGTGATGGAACTTACAACGGAATTCAAATTAATAATTCGACTTGGAGAGCCTCTGATAAGGGATGGCAATAGTAAAACTGAGAGCAGTGCTGGAGCAAGATGATTGACTTGCAAGTGTTCTTCGTACCCATCTTTTGAAAGTTTTTGTGGCTCTGAACATACCAAAGCCAGAGGTATATCAGTAAATGACAAATCAGATTCTGAAGGGGTGTAGCTTTGAAATTAAGTAAATTATGTCAATAAAAAGACCAACCTCCAATTGAAAATATCCCAGCATTGTTGATAAGAACATGGAGAGGTCCTAAGCGTGCATTCCACGCTTCAGCAAATCTCACAACAGAATCCAAGGAGAGCAAATCAAGTTCCATTACCTAAAAAAGTCACAATCTTATTCTACGTTAATAAATGTTATAAATTTGATATAGTGGGTTTGTTTTTCTGGGGTTTTACCACCCCCAAGTTCATCAACAACAAAAAATTATTGATTTGGTGGTGTTGCAACATGGAGTTGAGGCAGACCTCAATATTGAGAGGAAGGCCCATTCCAGTCCATTCATTCTGCCACTTCTGGATCAACTCATTAGCTGCTTTCGTGTTCCTCACCGCCATCACAACATGCGCCCCAGCTTCCGCCAACTGCCTGTTCAGTACATAATAACCAACACCAGACCACACATCCTTTTCAGTTTTCATGTTCAGGCACTCGGTCTAATTCAAAATTCAAAACTGAAATTGGGACCAAATTTCTTTTGTATCATTTTCTCAGCAACCAAACAGAAGGACACCCACCCCTTTCTTTGCATAGTGAGTTAAGTTATTACTAAAACAAACAAGGAAAGTAAAAAATATATATGAAATGAACTCATCAATCTTTGTAGATTTGAAGAAAGGAGACGCTGACCTGGCAATTTCGCGGCCGATACCGCTGGTGGATCCAGTGACAATGCAAGTGAGATCGTTGACAGGAGGCAAAGGCATGGGGTTTTGCAAGTGGCTGGCCGTGATTCTCTGGAACAGCATCTCGTACACCAGATACAACCAACCCCTTGCCCACTCTATCCATCCCAATCCCTCCTTCTTCTTCTTCTTCACTTCCTCTTTCGGATGAGACGACGTCGTTGCCATCCCAGCCTCCTCCCTCTTCTCTCTCTGAATCTCTGATGCGGTATTGGGTTTAATTTGGGGAACTCAGGACAAAACAGTAGCTTGGGCCTGTGACTTTACTGGCGAGTGACTAGTGACCATTTGGCCGGCGACCATATATTGGTGTGTGTAATTTGTGCTGACTTAAAAATCTAAAATAATCTTCATAATTCTGGAATCTGGAGTTGCTTGTAATTTTCAACCAAAATAATAAGTATCTTGTAATTTGGTCATTGCTTGGGTGCAACTCGGAATATAATTGGAGGAGACAATGGAATATAAATTTTTTGGTGTTAAATACTACTAATCATTTGAATTAGAAATGTAACTTACATTCGAGTTTGAATTTGAGACTCAACTTCAAATAGTACACTCAAACTTAATTAGCGACATTTTATTAAGAGTGTTAGATTTCGGATAAAGAATTTATTGGATATTTCAAATTTGAGACCCCAACTTCAACCAAGTAGAAGATAGACACTCCAATTCAAACCTAATTAGTGAATAACTTTCTAGAATCATGTTAGATTCAAATCCACCGATTTAACACATGTGATGCATTATATCAACTCAATGTACAAAAATACACGAAATTAGTATGGATTATGAATTCGGGTTAAAACAATAATTATTATATAATACATGTTGATAGTCTATCAATATAGCATAAAATACAATGATTAACCATTTAAAAAGAAAAATATTATATCATGATTTGAACGGAGTTTAAATGTTAATTATTTAACAACAAGTACAATTTATAGTGGGTTTACATGTTGTGAACTTCGAAGGCGATGATTGGTAAAATGATGTGGGCTTGTTATGCACGCGCGCAGGCGCAACAATGGCACCAATGGCATTGTGAATAATATAATAGAAATAGGAGGGACACGTGGCATTTCCTATAACAGAATTCTCACCAGAAGAGAAACAACGACAGTGTGCCACCTTTCTCTCTCTCTCTCTATATATATATATATATATATCTCTCTCTCTCTCTCTCTCTCTCTCTCTCTCTCTATAACTAAAAGTTTGCAAGGAAGGAGCCAATACAATGCTAGCTACGCTGTCCAATCGATTGAGCAATTCGTCGCTTCGCTTCTCCAGCATTTATTAATATTCCAGAACTTTCTTCTACTCATTCACTATACACTCTCGCTCGTCGTCATCTTCGTTCCAGTGACAGGCGCTGTGAGAAAAGTTGAACGATTTTCTTTCATCATTTCAACGAATCAAGAACCGCAAAAGTACGTACGCATTATTTGAGAAAGGAAATTTAGTCTGCTGCCTTTCTTTGACTTCCATTGACGTTTGAATTTCAGTTTCTTTCTTGTTAAGATTTTCTTCATCTAATTTGTCATATATATGTAACTAAAGTCTAATGCGTTTATCTTCAAATCATTGTCTAATTTGGTTGGTTATTTTCTTGATCGAGAAAGTCACAGCAAATTGTTCTTGTTTTCTTCAATTAATGTGATATTATGTATAAATATATAATATTAATAGCACTGCATCTGCATGCATGTTTGGTTTGGTTGCTGATGATTTCGGTGAACAGGATTGTGAAAGAATACTATATAATATCGATCCAGATTGAAAAGATGAAGGGAGGAGTGAGAGCAGGATTGGCAGTGAAGGCGATCGTTGTGGTGATATTCACATCCATGTGGTTCCGTTGCGTCTCTGCTTTTGCTGCTGCTATCAACACCAACCACTCTGTTGGCGGAGCTTCGGGTTGGGATCTCTCCTCCAACCTCCAAGCATGGGCCACTCACGCCACTTTCCATGTCGGCGACTCTCTTGGTACGTATCTAATTTAATTTAGTTATCCTTCTGCTCTGTTTTTCTACCTTCATCCATCCATCTCTGTCTTTCTTTATTAGCTTCATCTTTAATTCACTATATATGTTTGGTTCGTCAGAAAATGACGAGGGAAAGAAAGATTATGATTTTCTTGATTTAGTAATTTGAAGATTATATGAGTTTTTCACTTTATTTTCTTTGATTTTCTTGATAACCAAACAAACGCTCCCTAAATTGTAATGTGTACATTGCGATGGTAGGCTCCTGTGAGTGAGGAATTGAGGCGGTGAAGAGAAACAAAACAGGGCATAGGGTATAGGCTATATAGGATATAGGCATTCGATAGAGAGAGGGGGTAGGTGGATAAGGACATAGGATCGGCTGTTGGTTGAATTTGGGTGACACAGACTGCATATTGGAATTAGAGAAAAAGGTTGAAACTTATTAATTGCTTAATCATTTTGAAATGAATCCTTGTATGCATGATTGATGGTGGTGGATGGGTGAGTGGCAGTGTTCAGGTACACACCGGTGCACGATGTGCTGGAAGTGAAGAAAACAGACTACGATAGGTGTCACACAGTGGACCCAATGGAGACGCACGACGAAGGGGAGACAGTGATCCAGCTGAGGGAAGTAGGAAACAGGTACTTCATATGTGGGCGGCTGGGACATTGTGCTATGGGCCTCAAGCTCCATGTCCAAGTTTTCCCTGCACAGCTTATGACTAATAATGCAACCTCGCCCACTGCTCCTCCTCCTACTACTTCTGATCATCATCATGATCATCCAAACGACAACAACAACAGCAGCCATGGGATGATGCTGCCTTCTCCGCCGCCTGCAGATTCTAATTACTCCAATAATAATGATGCCGTAGCAGCCAAGACTTCTTCTACTAGTACTACTGCTGGTACTGCTGCTGCTGCTGCTGCTGCTTTTTTAGTAGTTGTCTTCGTCACTATGCATGCAGTTGCAGAGCACTCTGCATCATAGGATAAGATAGCAAGCAAATAGCTCTACTCTAATCTTCAAATACCAAATATCATCCATCACCTATCTGCCTGCCTGCCTGCCTGCCTCCCCTCAGCATGCAGCAAATATTATTACAAGGTTGATGATATGTTTGGCACAGCCAACCCATTTGATATATTTGATCCCTCTTGTCTACTTCTAGTATGAACAATCACCAATTGCCTAGTTATATGAATTCAACTCACACAATATTATTTTCTCAAATTCACCATTTTCATTTCAATTACAATCTTACACACACACCACACTCATATTCATGTATGTTACATAGCCTTAATATTTCTACTTTTTCTCTTTTTTGGGTACAAATAATTTCTACTTATCTTCACTTAATTGTTATCCTTTCCTTTGGGTTTATGAGCTACAAATATATGAGGCCCAGTCAGGTGAACTTGTAAATTAACCTTCATTTTCTCTGCCAAGCAAAACGAATGCTACTACCAAAAGGTATATTGATGGGGAATGAAAACAAAAAAAACAAGCAAAAAGAAGACAATTTATTGAAGGTTATCAAAGTGTCTAGCATTTTATAATAAGCTAGGTCGTCCATCATTCACGGTCTCAAAGTTTTCCCGTCTGTCGTGACTTAACGTAATCATCCCAAATTCTGAAATGCTTTTTTTTCTTTTTCTTTTTCTGTTTTGGGGCTTCATATCATATAGAAGCAGCCAGTGGCTGGTGGCGCTTTCAACCGACCAGCTCTGAATTTGAGTTGGCACCCATTAGTTACTTCACCAGCAAAATCCATGATGCTCACTCCCTTCCCTTTTTTTTTTGGAGGGGAGTGAGTCGATGGACCCAATATTAATAGTTGGGTCAATTTAAATGTCCATATCCCATCCCCATCAAGAGCCCAAAAAGTCTTCATTAGGCTCAAGCACAAGCATGGGAGAAAGTTCCATTGTGTGATTCTTCTTCTTCCAATCCTGATTCCTACTCCTACCTTACCTTGGTCAAGGAAATTAAGGGGACCTCTGGTTCTTCTATGTTGGTTTTATGCCCCTTCATAAATTCAAAAGGTACTCACTCTGTACTAACCTACTACTGGCTGACTAAAGCAAATGCAAACTCCGCACACATGGGAGCCCTGACTGATAAAACTTATACGAAAAGAAGAAGAGAATTTCACAGCTGAGAGCTCCGACTCTGAGCCCTACTGATAAAACTTTTATGAAAATAACTGCATGAAACCAGTGATAGGAATGTGAATGTGATGTTCCTTCAAAGTTGAGAGCTCCGACTCTGAGCCCTACTGATAAAACTTTTATGAAAATAACTGCATGAAACCAGTGATAGGAATGTGAATGTGATGTTCCTTCAAAGTTGAGAGCTCCGACTCTGAGCCCTACTGATAAAACTTTTATGAAAATAACTGCATGAAACCAGTGATAGGAATGTGAATGTGATGTACCTTCAAAGTTGACTCTGAGAATCTCTCATAGTTCTTGTTCTATTTAGTTTACTACTTGCAAGCAAACTATACTATAGTCTATAGGTTATAGCATACAACAACACACAAAATTTGCATTTACAAGAAGACAAACAAAGTACAAACACACCAAAATTAATAAGCATATATATCATTAAGAGAAGCTAAGCTAGAGGCCACCGTTCACAATCTCCCTGAAACGGCGTTGATCAGATTCTAGCCTCTGAAGCCTCATGTCATTGTTGAACTTCTTGATGAACGCCTCTGCTCGCTGGTTCAACTCTTCCTGAGTCATGGACTTTTCCCTTCTCAACGACACCCTGTCGCTAAAAGTGTCTGATTTCTTCAGCTCCTGGCGAGCCCATGTCACTGCATCATCCTCTCCATCACCATCATCATCATTATCATCATCATCACCATCTAAGTTAGAGTGATGTAATTGTAATTGATGGTCAAGACCCCCTTTGAGCTTATTCCTTGTGAGGGCGAATTGGGTTAAGCGAGGAGGGGTGTCCCAAGTGTCACTCTTTTTTAGGTGCCTACCAATTGCCTTGCCTTGCCCCTCCATGATGGCCTTCCATGTGGTGTCCAGTGTGTTAATATGCTCTCCCACCTCCACCTCCAGTCTCGGCATCTCCACAGATTTCGTCAACAAGTCACCGGAGGGCATTTCCGGTGAAGGGTCAAATCCCTGATCATTATCATCATCGTCTTCTGCTGCTGCTTCTTGTTTGCCATCATCAGCTTGTACCATGTGTATGTCATGCCAGCTCATCAGTTCATTATTCGAGTGGCCATGAGAGGATGGAGAAAATAATAGAGCAGTTACATCCTCTTTGGAAAGACTTTGGATTGTGTCTTTGGAATGACTTTGGATTTTGGGCTGCTGCTGTTGCTGCTGGGACAGAGACTCGTATTGGATGCTGCTGTTGTTGTTGTCTGGACTATAGATATAATTGCTGCCACTGTCAATATTGTCGGCGGTTTTGGCTGCATTGTCACTAATGAAGGAGCTGAAGCCTACAGAAGAAGAAGAGGGCTGCTGGTGTTGCTTTTGGTTTTGGAATGTGGAGGAGGCAGCAATGGTGATGATGATGAAGTTGAGGATGATGTAGATGTAAAGTGGAGATAAGAAGCAGCTTTTGAAAGAGGCCCATAGCTGGGGAACAATGGAAACAGTGAGATTCAGAAGGTAAGGAATGATTGCCGCTTTGAAGAATACCAAAGTGGAGACTGTCCCTACACAAAGCAGTAACAGCTTTGCAGCCCAGATTGCTGTTTCCAATCTTGCTCTTTTCAACACATCCACCGTCATGTTTCCTGATCCGATTGCTTTCTCTCCCAAATTCAAAACAAACCGGTCTTGAGATAATTTGAGAAATTCAAATTCAATCAAGTCTAATAAAGTTGTGGAAGATTAATGCTATGAAGAAGGAAGAAAGAAAGAAAGAAAGAAACGAGCATGAATGTGTCAAAAACCACATGCTCTGCTCCTGCTCAACAAAAGAGACCCGAAATAGCATCTAAAACCGCCATTTTAAAACAGGGACTTGGAATTTGGATACGCTATACTATACAAAGAAGAGGCGGATGAGAGAGACAACAAAAGGGAGGGTTCCTAAATCAGCATTAAAAAAATACAATTGCTGGTTTGTATACCTCAAGGTTCAAGACTGAAGACTCAAGAGAAGAAGAAGTGTCTGCCTGCCACTTGATGAAAAATGTTTCAGCTGAGGTTAAGGAAGGAGAAAGTAGCTTAGCTAGGAATTACAGGATCACATAAAAAGTTGGATCACTCCTTTCCTCCTATATATTTATATGCAAAAAAAGAATAAAAAAGTTTTGAACTGAAATTGAAATGAGAGTGAGCAGCTGCTAGCCTGGTAGAGAAAGAGAGAGTGAAAAGAAACATATGAAATTAAGGTTGACCTTCATAAACAGCTAAGAATGGCCAGAAAGTAAAGCAAAGATTGGATGCAGTTTGCAGAGGGACTTTGCATCTCTACTCTACTTCCCAATGGTTATGGTACGCTCGCTACTAACATAAACCAGACACCAGCTGCTGTTGCTGCTGCTGCTGCCTATATATGAAATATGAAATGAAAAGAATGACCACTGCTAGGTAGTAGCTAGCCAGGGAGGAGGAGGAGAAGAGTCTCAGACAGAGTAGAAGAACCCAAAAAGACCACAAGGCAAGGCAAGGCATGGCTTAAATGCACGAAATGGCCTTTGCCTTTATGTATGTGTGTGTGAGAGGCAGGGCTTAGACTCCTAACAACTATTCTTCCTTGATCAAATCTCTGCCGTCCAATGTTCAAATCCTCTGCTGAATTATTTGACGTTTAAGATTTCATTATTACTTGTCTGTTTGTATGTTTACTTTATTATGGTCATGGCCCAACAAGTTCATCTTAAAAAAAAGGAAAATGCTACGGAGACCAACTTTAGATATCAACTTGTGTACTAACTCTCTAATAGAGCGTGAGACTCATTATATTAGTGGGCTCCACCTCTATTAGAGAGTTAGTAAACAAATTGGTATCTAAAGTTGATCTCTCTAGCATGACTCTAGAAAAAAAGTTAAAGATATTTAAACCAAAATCTAATCCCCATAAACGCGCCGCTTTCATCCGCGGCCATGTTGTATACCATCATGATGAGTGGCCAACTCATTAACGCAGAGCCATGTCGTGTATATAAATGTCAAACCTATGCTATGCCTTTCTTTCTTTTACTCACACAGATATCTACTTTAATTAATTTGCATCCCCTTAAGTTAAGTTGAGTTAAGCCCACTCCACTCAAATCTGAAAACCACAAACTTGATTGTTTAGCTGACTCAATTATTACAAATTGAAATAATGAATGAAGGAAATATCATTAATTAGTATTTAGGTTTTGGGTCAGATTGTGCGGGTATGGACACTTAGGCAGGGGCCGTTGGGGTCTTTTGTCTGAGCCCAGGGAACACCCACAGCCATGCACTCAGTACCCACCCCACCCACCGTTAGGCTGCCTGCTCTTGAGCTTTCTTAATTCCTTCCTTCCTTCCTTTCCTTCCTTGAAGTTGTTTTCTTATTTTTAAATATTTATATAATTACTCCTCATCAAACTAATAGTGATAGCTCACTAGCTACGTACCAAAAGCCACTCTGTGCTGTGCTGTGCTGTGCTGTGCTGTGCTGTGCTATGCATGCCATTGCCAAGCCCCAACAAATTTATTTAACCTCTCCTCTCCCTAAATCAGTAAGTATTATCTCATTGATTAATTGAGCTGTGTGCATGCAGAGTCTGCAACTTCTCATTTTCTATGTGATTCCATTCCCATTACTCACTCAATCTCGATCCATTGATTTTTTTCATGCTTTCTTATTTATATATATATGTCGTCAAATTAACGATACGATATACGTATTCCAATTACTCTCATTCTTCTGTTTTATATGTACTGCCTTGCCTTGCATTGCCTTATTGCCAGCCTCATTACATTGCCAAGAGTAAGAGATGAGGAATAATGACAGGGAGGAGGAGACTGATGAAGAAAATTCAAGATTATGTAGGACAGACGACAAAGGCCTTGGTGTAAGTTTGGGAACCGTCAATTCAGTTCAGAAGAGCATGCATTGATTTGATTGAAGTACCCAACCATGGCCCATATATATATATATATATATATATAAAAAGTGTGTTAAAACTAAAACTTAGCTGTAACAACGTCACTTGCTGCTATGAGAGCTAGCTACAATACAATTTACGAAGACATTGAATTCACAACATCAACTTTAAGAGAGATGAAAGTTCAGTAAGTGGTATATTTTGCTGTCGTTGAAAAAACATATATGCATATGAAATATCTTCTTCACACTAGGACGGGTGGATCACTCACTAGTACTAGCTAGGTGCAGGCTGGCTGGCTCCATCAGCCATCATTCATCAGTGATCATGGCCAACAGTAATCTATCTGCTATCATGCTCTTGGAGTTTTCCTTTTTAGTAAATTTAGATTTTGGCTATAAAAAAAATTTCAGTTTTGAAAAAAACCAAAGTTTTTTCAAAAAATACAAAAAAAACCTCTCAACTTTCAAATTAAAGACATGCAAATGTAAAAGATTCCTTAGAAAATCCAAAAATAAATAAGGGCAATTTTATCCATTTTGGCTTCTTTTACAAAATTTCTCTCTCCTTTGTGTTTTTCCAAAGTCTCCTCCTTTTTCATTTGATGCTGCGCAAATATGCATACATCTTTTATAACTGTAACCCTAGTCAAAAAGAGTATTAGTTCACTTTCCCAATAGAATTCAAGAATTCTTTATATTTATGTATCAGACTAACTAACAAGTCCCAAGTTTGAATTCCTCTAATCCTCCTTTTAATTCAAAAATTAGAGAGCATAATGGACCCTAGGCAAAAGTATAATGAAAAAAAAACTTTATCATATGCAAACAGAGTCAAAAGGAAAGAATTATCTCTATCTTTATTGAGATTATTTTTTCCATATATATTATATATAAAAATACAGGCAGGCAGGTGTAACAATTATATTTGCTGTATAGAATAATAGATAGGTGAAATTTGTCCAAAGACTGATTTTATAAGTTACCAGCAGAGCAGCATATCGTTGTCCTCTCTCTACCATTTTAAAATGGTTTGAGAAGGTTCCACTTTGACTTTGACTGCCAATTCAATTTTCTTTGGATCGGCAGCAAGATTAAACAATTCCATATCATTATGGAATGGAATGTTCCATATGTTATGTATGGGAAGGTGAGCTGATCATCTTGAGTTGAGGTTGAGGTTCAATTAGAATGCAAAGGTAAAGAGTTATACATTGGAAATTTGAGAAACTTAGTAAGAGCTTATAAGGAGTTGGACTACTCTCCTCATTACCAATTGGTTTTGGGGTGGAACCCAACTTCCTTCATAGTAATCAGAAACTTGCAATAATAATTAGAATTGAACCCAGAACTTGCTCTTTAATATATATATATATATACCTGCACACTGCACTGCAGAGTCTATCTATGTGTTGCATTGCAACCTACAAAGGGATAAGCCAACCAGTGCTAATAGCAATGGAATGCACTATTCTTGGATCTTTTAGCAAGATGGAGACACATTGGTAGTAGCTAGGGGGCTCTATGTCTATATGTATAAAAAAGCCTCCTTCCTGTTCCTAATTTCCTAATGTTGAGACTCAGTTGAGTTGTGTTGAGGCATCCATCCACTAGAAACCAAACCACATTTGCCAGAGAGAAGCGCTAGTGGTGAGTCTCCACCAAGCGGCGCCCTATCCCTTTAACCTTTTCCATTACCCAATTGCCAAGTGGCCAATGGCCCTGGCTCTCCTTTTAACTTCTCCTCTCACTGTCACTAGTACTATTATACACAAGGAAAGATCATTATGATTAGGGTGATGGGCATAAAAACTACTGAATTGTCAAAACATATCTAACCTACAAGATTTGGTTTGGTTTGGTTTGGCTCGGTTATACTAGTGATTTTCCGTAACACCGTATTTAATTTGAACTGAGACATGAGTGACAATTCTATAGCTGATTAAAGTGGTATAGTACGGATCGAATCGACCTGTGCTCACCTCTAATTTAAATATATTAACAATCTAACATGGATTTGGATGTTTCATGATCTTTCAGTCTTTATCGAATCATTTGAATTATGAATAATGGCTGGCTGAATGGGTCCCCTGGAGTCTAAAATTGGAGTGGTCTTGTACTGAGCATGCGTCTATAAATTGCTTGCTTGGGCTGGAAGGCTAGGCCCCCAATTTGCTGGGCGGCACCTGCTTTGCTCCCAAGCTAAGCTAAGCACTAATATTGCGCTTTTGCGTATTTTTACCAAATATTATTCTTATATAATTATTATATGTGGGTGTGTCTCTCTCTCTCTCTCTCTCTCTCTCTCTCTCTCTCTCTTACCAAGTGTTGTTTCATATTGCGTTGCACCTTTTAAATAGTTCCATAAAAGAAAAGAAACCTATATATCTTTTATATTTGAGGAGAATTAATGCAAATGAATCACTAAATCATGTATAGAGTTGATTAATTAACGAGTATTTAACCCAAGACAATATTATATATGTGATTCCTGCTATGCTTATACCAAAACCACCAATAAGTTTAAATTATGATACAGAGAGTAGTAGTTGCTTCCGTCCAACAACGGTTCTATGAGTGATGACTTGGTTGGTGCCGTGCCAGTGCCAACGCCAATGCCAATGCCAATTCCAATGCCAATGCCATAGAGTTGTTGTTAGGGCAAGGACAAGAATCTATGGTTCTATGATTGAGAGAACCCTACCAAATACCAAATACCAAATACCAGGAGAGGAGGTCCTGGTCCTCCTCCACAAGATAAATAAAAAAAAGCAAGGACAAAACAGAAAACGAAAATCTTTTCTTTGGATGGGTTGGTCCCTTGTACTTTCTTGTACATATATGTGAAATAACAAATGTCGAGTTCTAGGTCATACTAATTTTCTTTGACATTTTGCTTTGCCCCCCCTGCTAAGTCAAATTAATAGTTTCTCTCTTGGTGCTCGCTCACTTCCACACAGTTGGTTCCAAAGACCAACGTACTATCTGTATTATGTATGAGGGAAGGGCCACAGGCCAGGCCCTGAATGAATGAATTAACCAGTGTGTGTCTTGGAATATTGGAGAGAGAAAAGAAAAGAAAAGGAAAGATTATCTAGGTTGTTAGTTGTTAATTAGTTTCAAGTTTGAATGGATTATATATGTATCATGTATGGATGATGAGCATCGTCAAGCATCCTCAAGCATCAAGCATCTCCATCACAATGAAACATGAGACAGTATATATTATAAGAAATCAATTTTCATCTAATGACTCACTCAACCCATGTGCACATGATTTTGTTGGCTTGGCTTGACGACGATCCTTTGCAATATATATTCATTTCTGTCATTCAAAAAGATAATTAATCTTCTAATTAATCTATTCTATGGCACAAGAAGAATAAGAAATGTCCATGCATGTACGTGTACCCTAACAACCTTGGCCTACTTCCCCTTTCTTTAAAATACCATCTTTATTAATTTGCTACGTCCTTGTCCTTCATTATACGGCAAATTTTATATTACATATATGGCTACAGAATCGTGGACTTAGCATATACAATCTTTCAATAAAAGAGAACTGTATATATATAAAATAGTCGATAATTTCATTGTAGATATAGAGTATGCCATGCATTGTGTATATATGTGTATCATTCTGCAGAGCACAGTCAGTCCTATTAGTTCGGTTATTTTCTTTGCACTAGTCATATGTATCAGAAGAATGAAAGATGCGATCAGGCAGGAAGGAGGGAGGAAAGGAGAGAACAGTTGAGATGTCATTTCACTGTTATTGCTGGGAATAATAATAATAATACTGTGGGCAAAGTTATTGCTTTGCCTCCATCTTTAGAGGCAAATGGGTCAAGCCTGCCAAACCCGTTCGAATTGGACATTTGTTTTAATTTATCAAGAGTTGAGTTGATTATAATTATAAATAAATAGCATACAATTATTGTTTTCCTGACATTCTGTATTATAAAAATGAACCCAATCCATGAGCGATGAGGCCAAGACAACGAACACTACTTGTTTTAAATATTGTTTAGATGGTTGATTGGTTGGCCGAGCATCTAATTCAAGTATGTGTGTGTGTGAGTGCATTCTAATTAAGAATTAAGAATTAATTAGATGCTTGGCCAAGACAACGCGCACACGCACACACACATACTTGGATCTGCAATGAAATGAAAGGTGATTCATTCAGATTTTTCCCCCAACCTCATTGGATCTGCAAAACAGACGCCTCCTCATTCAGGATCAGGAACATGTGTCGGCAAATTTGACCCTATAATAATTCATACACAATCTAATAATGAGGTCTAAGTTTGACCATATTATATGATCCATAATCTAATGAAAGCTACTTCCTCCTCCTCGAGATGATGAAGTTGCTGCAAGTGTTTGGAGAATTCTGTCATGATAAACAACCAAAACAATGCCCAAATTGGTGCTACATTCGTTTACTGCCCAAAAAAATAATAAATCATTCATACTGTTTGCTCAACTTCTTAAAAACAAAAAACGAAACATGACAGGGAGAAAAATGCAGGAACAACATCATATCTTAGCCACCCGCTCTCCTGTCTTCTTAGTAAGACCTACGAAATCTTGTAAAATCAAATGCTCACTTTTTTTCTTCTTCCTTCTAGATTCTAGTATTAATATTACGTTCTTTCTCAGGTACTGTACTGATCTGATACTACAGATTCCCTCTGTAATATGCAAACTATGTTTTTTTTTCTCAGAGATGATGCCAGGCTTTCAAAAGTACCATATCTCAGCACCACAAAGGAGAAGGCGGTGTGGTGTAACACTGTATATCTTGATTGAGATCCAACCCTGTGTTGCCGTGCAGAAAGAAGGAAATATTAATCATTCAGACAGGATAGAACTTTTAAAGGTGACATGAGAACAACTAAATTAAGAGGGGTATCGAACTGAACAATATAAATAAAAGCGAAGGCTGTCCTACACAAGCGCGAGAGAAGAAGACCCTACTCTTGTTCCATTGAAGGATTTGCCAAACTGGAAGGTATACTATAGGCATCTACAATTATCTCAAATAGAAAGTTTTGACACACAACATTTGCGACAGTAAGGTCTAGAGGAAGATGCAGGACATACTTTTCCCTTTCTCCCATCAAGGTAATGCAATAAACTATATTTACTGGGATCTTATGAAATAATTTACAACATGGATTTAATTCCAGTATATAATGCAAAACAAAACCATTGCTCTCAGGTGCTACGAACATTAGATGCAACTTTGACATGTGGATTGGTGCAAAAGTGCCAGGTAGTTTGGTTGGTAAGTCTTTTGGTATCGGGGAAAGATTTAAAATTAAATCCCTCCTTCTCAACAGGGTTATCTCCTCTGTGGTGTTAGTCCGTAGGCCCAAACGGGCCTCCAATGCACTGATTAGAAAAGGTTGACTTATAGTACTTAAAATAGCAAACCTTGGTGAAGAGGTATATATCCTGTCAAAACTGTTCGGTAGGAATACACACTGCCCACTCCAGTAATTCCATGGGCTTCACTCAAAAATATCTTCTCCTGCAAAAATTGATTTGGATTTGAGAGTTCAGAATGTAGCAAATCTTGAATGATCACAAGGTCAGAGCTGTGTCCAATGCCATGATAAGCTTATGTTTATCCGGCTTTTTTTTTTTTTTTTTTGTTGAAAAAGGAAGAAGAAGAGGAACAAGAAAAAGGAAAGATTGCTTCCACGTCTTTTTCTTCTGACCCATAGTTCAATTTCAGTAGTTTCTTGAGAAACCCAACTAAAAATATTAAATAAATAATAATATTTCTTTTTAAAAAAAAGTAGCACCAGTTCTCTTACAATCAAAAGTTTGCCAGCGTGGAGGAGTGGGATAGTCCTGTTTTGCATCAGGGACATAAAGCAAGCTGAATAAATCTGTTGTACCGTTGCTCTTGTTTGAGGCTGTATCACATTCCATCATAGGTGGTGGCCCATTTGGTGGAGGTGAAGTAGTAAACTTATGATTCAAATCTAAAGAAATCTGCAACGAACAAAACAAATATTAACCAGTGAACTCTTTAAACTTGGTCAAATGTACCACAAAAAATGACTTATAGCAAAAGGAGCATTACAAACACATTTGAAAAAGCACGTAGAGAAACATGAAAGATTAGAAGGCATACATCAAATCGCAGAAGCAGATAGGCCCTGGAAAGTAGTGACCTTTCCCTTTTGTTTTATCTTTTTGACACTCGAAATCAGTCATATTACATGTTAATTGCTATGGATAAAAAAAATTTGTAGAAGACAATTTTAAGAGAGGCCTAAGTATGGTGTGTTAGGTATATTAAAAAAGGGTAGAGGCAAATAGCAACTCGACAACCCATGAACTCAAATGATGGATCATTTACCCCAAAATAAAAAATAAAAAACTAGGAAAATCAATATTGTAAAACTTCTTTGTGCTTCACCATCAGACCTAATTTCTCAATCTCATTAACTCCAAAGAAAGCAACCCGCCCAGAATGAATCTAGACTTTCTTACTCTCAGCTTTAAACCGCCAAGTTGTAAAGCTCCCTCGTTGATCCACGAATGAGCATGACCCAACTCAATTAAGGATCAGAAATAAACATAAAGAAGTCTAATTATAGTGGAATATTCTACAAACACACCAAGTGGTAGAAGCACCCTAATCAATGATATCTACAAAACAGGTTTGTTACAAATGCAAAGTACGAGGAAGGAGCAATAAACATTTTTATATACCTAATAACTACAAACAAATTAATGGTTTTATGCAAGAAAAAATAAAAAACTTAATAAGATACAAAATTTACCCCACGGGATCTTGCCACTGAAGGAGCACTTTGTCCCAGGTGCTTAGAAAGTACTGCTTCTTCAAGAGAATGTCTCCTTGTTTTCTTGGGAACTTCGCTTGTAGCTCCACCTTCTACCAACTTGTTGGAACTGATGCTCATTTCAACTAGTTTAGGAGCCGGTTGTTTTGCATTCTTTGCAACCCACATTTTTCCTTCATACCTAAAAGTTACTAAGAAAGTTAAGAACAAAAGGAAATAATAAACAACAAATTCTTCAAGTTGCACATGAAAGCTCATGATTAGCTTCACCAAACAACTTACTTGGCACGAATAAACTTTTCAATCTCGCTTCTTTCAAAATGTGCCGGCAATTCTTTTTCCCAATAACTGTTTGCCTTTTCATTACCCACAGCTACGCAAAGATACACAGAAAGTTGATTAGTATGATAATGAATCAGAACATAATAGTCAGTTAGACAAGAGATAAAAACCATCCAGAGCAAAATGTGAATACTGAAGTGATGTTCCCTAACAGCTACTTCAGTCCAATTATTTAGGGGGAAAAAAAAAGGAAATAGAGGAAAAATATATATTCACTAAGATGAGAGCAATGCATATGCACCAGTTACCGTAGGAATGCCCATGTTTCTGAACCATATAAACAATGATGACAGAAGCTGCCTGCTTGTATGGTTTACCAAATTTGTGTAGTCCTGTCTTACTAAATTGAGAGTGTTTATGCTTGTATAACATGACCATGCATGTATGTGGGGTAGATAGATAGATAGATCATCTATTATAGATGATATTATATATATATATATATATATATAGAGAGAGAGAGAGAGAGAGAGAGAGAGAGAGAGAAGATGAGAGAAGCTGAATGGTGTTCTTACATTCCATAAAAGCAACCTGTTCTGGCAGCCATGTATCCAAAGTAGCAGACCGTACCTATTTCAAAAACAAACCAGGCTACGCTATCATTAGAACATAGAGCTGCAATTATATGAAACATAATCTATTCAAACAGATTAACGATCAAATAAAGAAAATTACTGAATTTTAGTAAACCAACAGGTCAATAGCCAGAACATATAAATAGCTTATAGTATATTCAAGCTATGCCAGTAACCAAACATAATTTTACATTTACATGACTATATAATAATGAAGAGTGAAGCCATTCCCAGATAACTTCTCATTAGTACCAAACCAATTGAATTTTAAAAGCCAGAGAAGGAAAGAATAAAAACAAGAAAAGTTTACTGACTAAAAAAGGATATGAAATAGAGGAAATAGAGAAATGATAGGTAGGCAAATAAACCTTTGAAATATGCACTCCAAGGCTACGATGAATTCCTGAACATTGCATGCAAATAAATATTCCCAGGTTCACACTTGCCCATCGTGGGGCTCTGAAAGAAAAATATTGCAGCACAAAAATTTCATTAATATCCATATCAGATTGCCACCAGGCTTGGGAAAACAATCTAAAACTGAAATTGAAGAGTTTTAGCAGTTGGTTTAAAAAGCTTTAACACTTAAAAGAACCTTCCCAAACCTAAGGAAAGAGATTTTGGGATAAATAATTGAGGGTCCAAGATGAGTAACTCTAACTCAAAGGATTCTCAATTTCAAGATTGTGTGTTATACAAAATTATTCTACTTGCGCACGCATACTTGTTTTCCTAAATGAGACCACAGTCAGAGAGATGATGACTACCTACAAACTAAATGCACAGGAACATGAACATGGATGTGTACACAACAAGAAAGAGAGAGAAATTTGAAGATATGAGTCTGCCTTAAATTTAATTAAGCATCATCAAGAAATGGCCATAAAAAAATCGGATTTTAACCAAATACTATGAAATGTAGCAAATTAAAGTATTTTAAGACAGAAGAAAAAATATGGTAGACGACACATTAAAGAAGGAAATGGATTGCGAAATGTGTACTTGCTCCGACAATCAGCACATTCCCTGTTTTGCGGCAGCTTAAGAAGACCTTCTAAAATCTGGACGCACATGTAACAACACAGCAGACAGAATAATTGCAATTGTAATAGATGAATGTCAAATAATAAAAAAAGTTGAAACAGAAAAAGAAAGGAGACCTTGGAGTGTTTGGCGTTGAGCTCCTTGGAAACGGAGGCTTTGTCATTCATTGTTGATTGCGAGTGTGCCTCCCTTCGTTACTGTGTTGGTTTGGTTGATATGGAACCTGAAACAACAACAACACAATAACACATAGACAACAGAAGCAAAAAGAGAGAAGAAGAGAGAGAGAGAGAGAGAGAGAGAGAGAGAGAGAGAGAGAGAGGCAAGCAGACAGACAGACACAGATTGAGTCTTGAATGAAGGTAGAGGCTCAACAAATTCCAAGGGGAAACGGTTGGCATTCCTTAAAACACGCCACATTCAGTGTTACTTCAATTTTCCATTTTCCTTCCAACTATACTATATATATATATATATATACTCATTCTATTCTATAAATCTATTTGAGTTTTGAATTTTGACTGACCATCTCACCTCAAAAAGCAAGCATTATGCCCTGCTACTCATTCAACAACAGAATCCAGATGACAAATTTATAGTTGTAAAATTATAACGCATATTTCTGAAAGAGATTGGTATTTCAATTTCAAAGTTCGACTCAGTAAAAATGCATACATCATCTGATAAATCGATTCATAAAAGATAGAACGAGAAACCCTCATAAACAGTGACAAGGAAGGAAATAGCAGGTGGAAATTGGAATGGCTTATTTGGGGCCAATCTCTTGGGGAGTCTTGGCCACAATAGACAGCGCATGGAGACCAGACTGGAGCTCGTCAGCTAAGGCGTCGTACACCATGCGGTGTCGTTTCACCAGGCTCTGCCCCTCGAATTTTGGGGACACGACCTTGAGGTTGAAGTGCGTTTCGCCATCCTTGTTGTTAGCGTTGGCCCTCATGGCGGCGTGGCCTGCGTGCTGATGCGACACGTCTTCTATCTCCAAAACGCTCGCTTCCAACGCCGTCTGCAATTTCGTCCTCATTCTGCTCGCTCGAGACAGCTGCAAAACCTTCGCTCCTCCCCTTGAACCCATTTTTCTTTTTCTTTTTTCCTTCCTTCCCTATACTCACTCCAGCTGCAGCACAAACACAATACTCACACACTAACTCAGTCAGGAGGTTGAGGTTGAGGCTGTGCATTCACTTAATAATTCTATTAGAGACATATAAAAAATGGAAGAAAATAAAAACAAAGATTAAAAAATGGAAGTTAAAAAACAAAAGTCTGCGGTGAGCGTGGATCGAACACGCGACCTTCAGATCTTCAGTCTGACGCTCTCCCAACTGAGCTATCCCCGCATGTTGACACTTAATGAATGATAGAATTGTTTATCTCTAACATAACAGAATGTACAAGCCAACAAACAGAAGAATAACCATATGAAAAAGAATCAGACTTCAATATATTCGTATATACGAATCATACACCCGTAATTTCAAATTCAAAGGGGCATGTTTATTAGTTAATTAAATCACAGTATATATACATAAGTGTAAGTGTAACATGATGATCACGAGTTTGGAAACAAATAACTAATAGGAATAGGAATATGAGTGTCCATGTTTGTAATATTTGACAACATATGCCCCGAAACCAAAAGCGACCACCGCCACCGCCACCGCCACCCCAAGCTTGAGCGCAACATCTTTTCCCACTAATTTGGATCTTGAAAGTAAAGCAGTTCTGGTACCACAAGAAGAAGTCCTTTGGCCTTTACATTCATTATTATTATTATTTTTGTAATCACTTATTTGGTCTTTAATTGTAGTTTTGTCTTGTTGAAGATGATCAGCTGGTACCACTAGTTTTTCCTTTTGAGTACTAGTAGTAGTGTTCTTGGGAGGACTGGAAATGCGGACGTTGGAAACTTTCTGAGGCATCGTAACTGTAAGAACTCCTCCCGCAAGCTTGGCACGAACTTCATTTGGATCGCAATTCTTGTCTGCAAGTTTGATTTCTTTGTGGAAGCGGCTCCATGTGTTCATGAGACTCAGGGGACGTTCTCCATGGATTGTAAGAATCCCCAAATTATTGGTTTGGACCTTGAGGTGTTCCTTTCTGAAACCTGATATGACAGTCACACACACACACATCATCGTCCATTATCACTACATTAATTCATTGTATATAAACCCTTGGTTAGCTATATAAACCCAATACAAAATCTAATTTACTAGCTAGTGCAAATCACAAATACATACCATCTGGAAGATGGATCTCAACCGTGTCGGGCTTATTCCATTTGCAGTAGGGTTCAAAGTCTTCATAAATACGTTGGGGTTCAGCTCCGGCGTTGTTTTCCATGGTAATATCTAGACTTTAGAACACAAGAATTAATGTCTAGATATATATATATATATGTTAGAGAAATATTAATTCTTGATACTGAGGAAGATCTATGTCTCTATGTCTCTATTTATACTCCCCATTTTTTGTTGGGGAATGAATGAATACAAAGGCACCAAGCTAACTATATAGCTGGCTGATATTAGACGTTTCTTACGGTTGTCCTTTTAAGAGAGAAAGAGAATCATTCTTTTTTTATTTCCTAAGGTTTCTGGATTGCTTCTGTGCCTTCTTCATTTCAAGAATATTATTCAGGGAAGGGAACTCTTTCTTCAGAGTCCATGTTCATCTCCTCGCTTGCAAAGGTACTGCTACTGTCTTCTTTCATATGCAATACATTTTTACCTTCATCTTTTGGCAACATGCAGATGTAGTTGCGTGTCGGAAATGTTATGTAGCTATAAAGAACAATTAAAAATAAAAATACTGGGTCTATCCCAATGAAAAAGGGAATCCCCAAGACTATGTCATCGTAATTGTGTGTGTATGAGAAATCATCATCTTCTCTAGTTTATACTATAACTTGTACTCCAGTAAAAAAAAAATGTAAAAATACCCTTGTGTTGGATGTGAAGTGGATTATGAGTTGTACGACTATTGGTCAAACCAATGTAGCCGCTTCATTGCAGCCGAATTCCAACGCCCCTATAAATTTAGACAAGAAATATCAATCTCATATTATTTTTATGCGACAAAGTAACAAGTTTTTTTTGTTGCTAAAATCCAGTGTCAAAGGTTGGACTAGGGCTAGAAGCAGTAGAAATGATAGACCATGTTGTAAATCATCACGTTAGACAAAAAAATTTAAATTAAGTAGATAGATGCTCCGCCCGCGCCCAGGTAGTCGTGCTCTTTCTGGAGACGCATTTACGCTTGCCGCATCAAAATCCACACACATCTTTGCCACAGAGGAAGAGACTTACTCCCACTTGTTGCGTACATGTGGCCAAACCTCTAACTTACCCCATGGCAGAGCAATTCATGCAAAACTCATCAAGGGCTCTCTGCCCTTTTCGCCTTTTCTTCAAAATCATTTACTCAACATGTATGCTAAATGTGGCGATCTTAGCAATGGTCTCCAACTGTTTGATGAAATGCCTCACAAAAATGTTGTGTCGTGGTCTGCGGTTATTACGGGCTTTGTCCAACATGGCTGTCCTAAAGAAGCCCTATCTTTGTTTGGTCGTATGCACCAGGATAGCACGACCAAGCCCAATGAGTTTACCTTGGTTAGCGCGCTCCACGCATGTTCCTTGTATGGCAATCTGACTCAAGCTTACCAAGTTTACGCATTCATAGTTCGCCTAGGATTCCAGTGGAATGCTTTCCTGATGAATGCATTCTTGACTGTTTTAGTAAGACAGGGGGAATTAACAGAGGCTTTGGAAGTGTTTGAGAATTGCCCCAATAAAGATATTGTGTCTTGGAATGCTATCATGGCTGGCTACTTGCAGTGTTCTTATTTGGAAATACCAAACTTCTGGTGTCGTATGAATCGCGAGGGAGTGAAACCCGACGGCTACACATTTTCGAGTGTTCTCACTGGGTTGGCTGCTCTCACTGATCTTAAAATGGGTGTCCAGGTTCATGCACAGCTTGTCAGGTGTGGTCATGGGGCTGAGATGTGTGTGGGGAACTCTTTGGCTGATATGTACATTAAAAATCATAAGTTAGTGGATGGCTTCAAAGCCTTTGATGAGATGCCTTCAAAAGATGTGTGTTCATGGACCCAAATGGCTGCCGGGTGCCTCCAATGTGGGGAACCAAGCAAAACGCTTGAGATTATTGCTCAAATGAAGACAGTGGGTATAAAGCCAAACAAGTTCACACTTGCAACTGCCCTGAATGCCTGTGCCAATTTGGCTTCCTTGGATGAAGGGAAGAAATTCCATGGCTTGAGAATTAAACTCGAAACTAGTACTGATGTTGATGTGTGCGTGGATAACGCTCTGCTAGACATGTATGCAAAATCTGGATGCATGGAGGGTGCATGGTGTGTTTTTCAGTCAATGAAGGATCGTTCTGTGGTGTCATGGACCACAATGATCATGGGGTGCGCACAAAATGGGCAAGCTAGAGAAGCTCTTGACATTTTTGATAAGATGAGGCTGGAGGAAGGTGTTGAGCCAAATTACATCACCTTCATATGCCTGCTTTATGCATGTAGCCAAGGAGGGTTTATTCATGAAGGATGGAAGTATTTTGCCTCCATGACTCATAACCATGGAATCTCCCCCGGAGAAGACCATTATGCATGCATGGTGAATCTTCTAGGCCGAGCTGGACGTATAAAGGAAGCTGAGCGATTAATCTTGAACATGCCCTTTAAACCAGGTGTTCTGGTTTGGCAAACTTTGCTTGGTGCTTGTCAGGTTCATGGCGATACAGAAACTGGAAAGCGTGCAGCAGAGCATGCATTAGATATAAACAGAACAGACCCATCAACGTATGTATTACTGTCAAACATGTTTGCTGGTTTGAGCAACTGGGACAGTGCTGGGATGCTGAGGAAACTAATGGAGTCTAGGGATGTAAAGAAATTGCCTGGATCCAGTTGGATTGAAATAGAAAAAGGCCACTGACCAACTCTAGCCCTCAAAAGATTTGCTTGAAATGCAATGGAGTGACGGGGGACGACCAACTTTTTTTCAATCTACTGTGAGATCGAGTAATGAACCAACTCTAGCCCTCAAAAGATTAGCTTGAAATGAAATGGAGTGACTACACTGAGATCGAGTAATGAACGATATTGTCTTTAAAGACTATTCTTTCTTTGTATTTGATTTCTTTCTTGGCGGTAAGCCAAGTAGTCATATGATCTGTGATCGCGATTCTGGCAAAATTTGATTTCATTCCTTATTCAAACTCAAGCACTCGTCTTGCAACGGAAATTCAACTATGGGCCGACTACTTCTTCACGGATCAGAGCCTCTTTGAGCCTTTCCTTGGAGCTTAATCGGCCCCCATATTCATTAGTTTTCAAGCCCAGTAAGGCAAAGAAATAGGAAAAACTATAAAAAGTAGACCCTCCATACGCCCAACGCTTATGCAATTGATGGATGGGTATTAAGGAGTTCCTCGTTATAATTTAGAGTATCCAATTAAAGGAAGGTCGCCGCTCCAACATATTTTTTTGTTCTTGAGGGATGTTAACTGAAATCTATTTCAGGATTTTTGTGAAAACTGTGGTAGAGTTTCGTAATTATGAGTGGGCATCAAACCAACCAAACTGTTCAAATTGACTCCAATATGACAAGTTTGGTTCGGTTTCAACACCAAACAAGTATAATTTTACACTGAACTGAATTGATCGTGATTAGTTTGGTTTATTTGATTTAGCCTATATGAAATTCGCCTATCCCAAATCAAACCACTTATGCTAATTTTATTAATTTTTGGCGCTAGGCATTTTACTTATTGTTTATTACTGTTAGCCTTTCCGCACGCTCTTCTGCGCCACTAAGAGACTTTTAACAAAATTTTAAATTTATTTAGCTATACTATTATGTTTCATTATAGACATTGATATATCAACCTTTAAAGTAATGAGAGATTTAGAAATTATAATGATGGATCCAATGTTCGTTTTACATGTGTTCAAAAAATTATCCAGATTGTCAGGTTGTTGATTTTGACTCCATAAGATTATAAGTAAGAAATTTTTTGATGTGTTTGTTTCAATTTTCAAGTGTAGAATTGTTGTGTTTCATTTAAATTTGAAAAGTGTGTAAATACAAGTTCTAAAAAATGAAACAATAAAAGTAATTATAGCTTTATATTGTCATTAAGCCAAATCACTATAGGAAAAAGAAAAAAAAACTAGGGTTGAGCTTAGGCTTAAATTCCCTAAACCACAAACCCTAAACCATTAATAATTAATTAGTTTTATCATAATTTAGAGATGAAACTAGCCCAAACATGATCATGCCCTCTTTTTTTAGAACAAATGATAATTCATTAATCAAGCATCAGAACATAAGAGTTGGCATGTAAGAGCACTTCCAGTGGTAGTGCTAACCTGGGCAAAAGGCCCCCTAGGTTCCCAAAACCCATTCCAGCAATGAAATCTAGTCAGGGAAAATGGTGGGCTCTACTAAGACTGGACAGCCCTGAAGACAAGAACAACTCGAGTTGTTGCATGAGGATTGTGATATTAGTGAAAAAAAAAATTTAAAAATATATAAAAAAATTCTGAAAAATTATCAAAAAATATTTTTTTGATACACATACCTAGCAATTTTTCAATTATTAATCTCATACATATAAATAAAATTAATCCCATGTAAGTAGTAATTGCTCTTGAGTTGCCATGACAATAAGTGGAAAAGTAACAAAAATATTACTATTCATGTGAATATTAACCGCCCTTACTTGCCCCTGCCTTTTTGTCATAATAAATAGATGATAGGGCTCTAAAAGGAAATAAATTACACGTAAATAAATAAATTACATGTAATGCTAAAAAAGAAAAAAGAAAAAAGAAAAAAGAAAAAGGAAAATTGCCGTTGATTGAGGATAGATAGGGAAAAGTGGGAAAAAAGAATTTGTAACTTAAAAACCATATAGGACGTAAATAAGTTTGTGTCATATTAGGACTGTAAGTCCGCTCCTAGTCACCCTCATCCGTCGTATACTCGTATATCGGCGTACACTCGCGAACAACGCCTAAACACTCACCATTCATCCATTTATTATTTATTTCAACTTTCCACATTCTCTCTCTCTCTCTAAAATCCCTCCCTCCCTCCTTCAGTTTCAGGTCTTCCTCGTTTCGTCCTCCATATAAATCGCTCGCCTATCCTCTCTGTCGAAACTCTCTTTCTTTCTCAATCAAAGCGACATGTCGTCCTCGGGCGGCAACTCCGGCAGTGTTGGTGGCCCGATCGCTCCTCCTCAGCTTTACTTTTGCCACCAGTGCGATCGTACGGTTTCCCTCAACCCTCCACCTACCTCCGATCTCGTTTGCCCTATTTGCAGTGGTGGTTTCGTCGAAGAGATGGAAACCCCTAACTCTAACCCTTTCCCCCCCAATCCCTTCTTCTCCGTCCCCTCCTCCGACGCTCCTCCCTTCGCCTCCAGCGGCTTTCCCCTCCTCTTCTCCGCCCCCGGCCCTGGAAATTTCTCCGACGATCTCTCTGCCCTCTTCGGCGGCGCACCCGCACGCTCCTCGCCGTTTCAGGACCCCGACGCCTTCAACCCCTTTGTGTTCCTTCAAAACTATTTGCAAACCCTAAGAGCGAATGGTGCCAATGTCCAGTTCGTGATCGATAACAACCCCGGCGCCGGGGGGGACCCGGCAGGTTTTCGCGTCCCCCACAATCTTAATCTCGGCGACTACTTCTTCGGCCCGGGCCTCGAGCAATTGATCCAGCAGCTCGCGGAGAACGACCCAAACCGGTACGGCACGCCACCCGCTTCGAAATCCGCGGTGGAGGGCTTGCCGGTTGTGAAAATCTCAAAGGAGTTGTTGGATTCCGATTCGTCCCAGTGCGCTGTGTGTAAGGACTCGTTCGAGCTCGGCGAGGAGGCCAAGCAGATGCCCTGTAAGCACATATACCATTCGGATTGCATTCTGCCTTGGCTGGAATTGCACAACTCATGTCCTGTTTGTCGCTACGAGTTGCCCACCGATGATACTGATTACGAGCAGAGGCTTAGCGGGGCCCCCGCCAATGCCAATCGAGCTAATCAATCTGCGGCAGCTGGTGGGGTCAATATTTTTGCCGGAGTTGGTGGTGGGAGTGGGAGTGGGAGTGGGAGTGGGATTGGGATTGGGATTGGTGCGCCATCTCTAGACAATCAGAGTCCAACTCCCCGAACGGTGGAGCGGAGATTTACCATCTCCTTGCCACGCCTTTTCAGGGTATTTGGTGGTTCTGCTGAGACTAGTAATAGTGGGAGTGGAAACAATGATGAGTCGAACTCGGGAAATAGGGGAGGTCATAACTCTGGATCGGAGGAGCCTAGGCATGAAGATCTTGATTAAACACAAATGGTATTGCACTTGCTACCATACACATTCATTTTTGTCTTCCATTTTGTTTATGTTGTATGTCATTCAAAGAGAATCATCATTTACTCGTTTCATGCTTGCATCAGTAGTTTAACTGATACATATTGGGAATTTTTCTTATAATTGCGCTTCATGTGAAATGCTTGACTAATATTGACAAATATACTTGTATCTGTACTTGAATTTTTATGTTGATTACTTAAGAGTTAGGCCTTTCATGTGGCAAATTTGCAACTCTATTTTACCTTAGTGACATTGTTTTGCTTAAGTTATCTGTAGATGTTGCTTCAAAAAAAGTTATATGTAGCTGATTAATGGGGGAAGAATGACATATGATGGTCTTTAAAGGTTTGGTGAAAGGAAAAGCTATTATATGGAGTCGGGGCATATTTTTTCCAAAAGCATGAAGTTATAGCAATAACATGCAACCAACCAATGATATGACATAAAATACATGTACCTATAAATTGTTTCTGAATTACCATGAGATAAAAGTTGTATGTACTGTGTAGTAAAAAGACAAAGAAGTACAGTTGAGCTCCTTTCATGTTAAACTCCCAACAAACCCCCACAATCATATATTAGCCCTCTTTGAACTAGTAAACGTCAATTAAATAATGCATACAGAAGAATTCTAGAAATCATACCATAGTCTATCAGTGGTAACACACAGAAATGCCACACCGACTGTTACACGGAATTATTGATATTCTCGATATGTATCATATCTGCCATCTTGCAATGTGGGTATGAATCATCCGTATCTTATGAAACAGTTGTAGGAGGTGACTTTCATGACATTTGTAGGATATTGTATGATATCCTAGACAGTAAGATACTTATTTTTAGGAGAGATAGGAGAGAGATCTACAAGGTGCATAATTACCACTTCCATGACAGACTAAGTTTTATTATGTCCCAAGGCATTATTGATCATCCTCTGCTACAGGAGGTTTATGTGGTCTAAACTCCTCGAATAATCCTTAATCTTTGTAGGATTGATCGTTCCCCATATCTAGTGACTGGGATGTTCTTTTGTTGTGTTGCTCAGGTGTCCGGGGCAGTCGTAAATCACATCCTGATAATGTTTGATTAGGGGATCAGCAGTTATCATAGTCCCTTCAGAATTGAGAATATGTGGCTTATCGTTCCTGATTTCAATGACAAAATCAAGTTGGGTGTCAGGGTTATGTGGTAGAGGTTGTTCCTAGTTTTTGCTTTTATTGGAAGTCCAGCTTTTGAAGCTAAATCTCAAAAAAGTCAAGAGAGATGAGGTTGGACGTATAGCTATGACTTATGATAATTAGATACATTGACTATTGGAATCATTTGATGCATCAGATTCTTGATAGGAGCATACTTGTCGCTGTCAAAATCAGCTGAACTTGTGTGCTGATGAGATTTTATAAGGTGTTCCATTTCAAAGAGTTGGACCACGGAATGTTTGTTTTTTGTTTCATCCGAATCTAGGATCATTAAAGACTGCATTATGTGAGTCCAGCATAGAAAGCATATTTTGGTTATCTTTCACTTTTTAACCGTCTTGTTTGTGTGCGGTCTTGTGTACTATGAGTATGTCTGAATGACTTAAGGTTTTTTAGCACAAGCCATACATAACAAAGTTCTTTTGTTCTACTTTATTGAAACTTGAGGAATCAATATGGAGCCTGGTTGGATCATTTCGACTGAATATTTTACCATATTTGCAGCAATTTATGCATATAATTCGTTTAATTTATCATGTATAATTGTTTTACGTGCAGTAGGTGATTTAGTTACTTTGAGTTGTAAGACATTTTGCGTGTGTTTTTTTTTTTCTTCTGGCTTGATATGTGTTGAGTGCAGTTTTGCTTGGCTTTTTAACACCCAACTCCCCCCCCCCCTC